TACTAGGTATTGCAGAAATAAGCATATCAGAGGAGAAACCAAATAGAGATATTATACAAACAGGGAACCCTAAATTGTGTAATAATTGGTCCCTAATCACATGCGAGACGCACGGTTTCCTACACGGTGAGAGAGTAATCCCTTATATAAATACTAGCAGGGTCAGGGTTACAACAAACACTGACCGCTACCCTTTGTACAATGTGATTGGGCAAAATTTTAAAGCTCTCAATAAAGCTGGATTTCCCCGTTTCCACGTATACAATCGTGTAGATCCCTAAATAAAATATTTGGCGGGTTATTTTTCAATACTAGTATTTTTAGCAGCAGACCTGTCAATGTAAAACTCTACTCTTCAAACACTGTTAATTAGGTCGGCTAACAGATACAAAGGGCTAAGTTTTTGCCTCTGTTACGAAATTTGACTATTTAATTACCCGAAAATGATTTTCCCTTAGGTTTTTGCAAGTAGTCTTAATCAACAACTTGGTTCTCTAAGTAGTATAATACTTGAAAGATGACGCAAATCCTGAAGTTTGTTCAATATTTACCGACAAGACTTCAGTTTGTCATGTTCTATTCTGGATAGTTAAGTATAGTAGACGCTGTATGTGTCGGCTGCTTTTGGAAGACACTGCTGACGTCAACGTCCAAAACAATTTTACTGGAGGTGGGAGAAGATGTGGTGGTTTAAACATATTTACTTAAGCTCCATTGCTAAACAAATTCTTGCAACTTAAATTTTAATCACTTTCGAGTCCGCTTCCTGGAACCAACCAGTACTGCCATGGTGTCATATGAAGAAACATGGTCGTGACTCGTGACCCATTGGCTCGAACCCATGATCCCTGGGTTGAGAAGCAGACACCTTAACCACTTAGGCTACCGCTCTCCTGTGTTAAGAAAGCTATGCATACAGCTAACTTTCTCAATAATTTAATGCATGAAAAGAAAAGCTGATATTTCAACATATTTATTTCGGTAAACATCAAAACAAGTAACAAAATTTATGTACAAAAGTATGAAAATATTCTTTAACAAAATGATGTCATGAAAAATATGGAGCAATCACAACAGTCAGATCACTTATCAACACTTCATTACAATAATCAAATAAACTATTTAAATCCTGATAAATGGATAATACTTCACCAAATGGTGTGAAAAATCTTACGATTTAAATATTTCAAAAGGAAATTCCTTTCTATATTTAGAAAAGAAATCAATACTTTTTTGTATTAAAATTGTGCCTACATATGGATATATTACAGAAATTGAGGATATTCATTTTTTTTCTATAAATACTGGATTTACTTTAAAATAAATATTTCATGAGTTGTGGTAGCTAAGAGTGAAATATAATAATTTTCATACCACAAAATGAAAATAAATCCTGTATTTATAGAAACCATGATGGCCCTGAGGTCGCTCACCTGTATATAGGCCCCCGGAGCGGGGCCAGTTTAAACTACAGGGCTTTTATGTGAACAAACTTGGAAGACACCCATTAATGTTAGTTTTTAATACACAACGCACATATAATGTAAAACAATGACCAGCCCCCCCCCTGCCAGTGCCAATTTTAACCCAAGGGCTTTTATTTAAACAAACTTAGTAGACAACCATAAGAAGATGTTTCATGCTAAATATCTAAGCTCTAGCTCATTGGGTTTTTTAAGAGAAGATTTTTATGTTTTTACTAAACAAATATAGTTAAAAACATTGACACCCCAGGGGCGGGGCCAGTTTGACCCCTGGGCTTTTATTTGAACAAACTTTGTAGTCACTTACTAGAAGATGTTTCATGCTTAATATCTAAACTCTAGCTATTTGGATTTTTTCAAAGAATATTTTTAAGTTTTTGCTATACACAAATAAGGAAAATCAATAACCCCTTGGGGCGGGGCCAATTTTGACCCCAGGGCTTTTATTTGAACAAACTTGGTAGACACTCATCAGAACATGTTTCATGCTAAACATTTTTGCTCTAGCTCTTTGGGTTCTTTAAAAGAAGATTTTTTAAGTTTTTACTATATGTACATAGGGAAAATCAATGACCCCCTGGGGCGGGGCCAATTTTGATCCCAGGACTTTTATTTGAACAAACTTGGTAGACACTAACTAGAAGATGCTTCATGCCAAATATCTAAGCTCTAGCTCTCAGGGTTTTTTAAAAGAAGATATTTAAAGATTTTTCTTTCGGTTGCCATGGCAACCAGAGTTCTGCATGGAATTAAATTTTTTGAACAATTTTTAAAGGTGACCACCAAAGGAACATCCCTGTGAAGTTTGGATGAAATTGGCTTAGTGGTTTATGAGGAGATGTCATTTAAAGTAAAAGTTTACGGACGGACGCCGGACGAAAAGCAATCACAAAAGCTCACCCTGTCACTTTGTGACAGGTGAGCTAAAAAACCTCATTTGTCTCAATCTTTTATTTATACGTTTATAATAAATGAATATATATCATACATTGTCCATCCTCTTTGTGTACTGCATGTCTATTTGATAAAACTGTTCTTAGAAGAAGTTCCAACATACATGTACATAGTGCCATGCACCCAAGTACATGTATAATATGTACATGTAATTTTATAATGTAATGGTAAATTATTTTGTCTCATTCCTTATTATAGATAACAAAGAAAAAACTTTATCATTGAGCTTTAACAAAATGTTCTTTTTTGACAATCTTTTTACATTGTATGCATATATTTTTTTTCAAGAGGCTGTCATTAAGACATATTAGTAAATATGTACTGTATGCAGTTTAAAAGAAAAGAAAAAATACATTGGGATATCATCTCATAATTGGCATTTAATATTCCTGGTAACAAGGAAATCCCTCTGATTTTACCAACAGCAAAACAATATCACTGGCACAGAAGTAATAATTTTAGATGTGAAAGGTGAACATAGAGTTGTAGATTTATTTGCAAAGATAGTAGGTATATAATTGTATAATAAATGCTTATAATCAATGAACAAAATAAATGAAATTTTAGCACCACTAACAAAAAAAAAACATCACTATGAGGCAAAACAACAAAATCTGTAACATAATTTTCATTAAAAATTAACATGCATCTAATACCATGTAAATTGAATTGTTTTTTTTATTACTTTCACATACATGTGAACTTTTTTTCGATGATCAAGTGGGAGATTTTTCTTCAAAAAGAGGAAGATTTTAGAATTTGCTATAAACAAAGAAGAAAGTTCTGATATCAAAAAGAGGGAGATTTCTTTAATTTGTGAAAATACACCATATTTTAAGAAAAATCTTTGAAAATATGGCTGCAGAAAGTGGGAGTTTCCCGCTAAAAGTGGGAGAGTTCACATGTATGCTTTCATAATTTTACTTTCATATTAATTAATGTCTGTGGGTCACATAGATTATTATTTTGCATAGTAAAATATAAATTTGAACACAATAATGGCAAAATGTAAAGGTATTTTGACTTTTACCTGTGCACTCACCATTGACACTTGGATGGGCATAATGTCATCTTAAGGAGTATAAGTTATACAGCTGACAGATGTTGACGGACAAAACAACAACTTGACCAATGCAACAAAGTAAAACAAGTATTGCCCCCTTCACATTATGTGCAGGGGGTATAAAAAATGCAAACAAAGTCCTTACTCCATCACTAAACATGTAGAAAAATAGTACAACAATTAGGAATTCAATCATATCTTGCCCTCTAGTTTTTTTTTGGAAATTTGCTCACTGATCTATAGGCTTACATCTTCAAGCGTTCGTCTTATAAAAAACAAATAAAAACAAAATGCAAATGAATTATAACAACATGAACACATTCAAATGGCATTTTATACACTTGTAAACACATGCAGGCTTGTTGAAAATAAAAATCAACAGTCATATTCAATAAACTTTACAAATGTCAATCATAACAATTTATTTTTGGTCAATTTTTTCAATGTTTATTTTTTTATTCTTCAAGGACCTTAGCTGCTCAGTTCTGCAACCTCAGCTTTGGTCAGCCTTGAATAACCACTGTAAAAGAAATGTATAAAATTATATAACTCTCTCTGTTACCAAGTGTAAATCTTGACCATGAAAACTTTCAATGATTAAAAGTATACTTTATCTGTTTTTCAGAAGTTATATGTGGATAATATATAACCATCTCAGTCCTTGTTTGTATAATGGAACTGTCAATCTTAGAATAAGTTTGTTTTGTTTGTTTGTTTGATTGGGTTTTACATCACACCAACACAGTATAGGTCATTTGGCGACATTCCAGCTTTACTGATGGAGGAATACCTCAGGTGCCCTTCTGAACATTATTTCAGGCTCAAACGGGCACCAGAGTAGAACCACGGACGTTAAATGGGTGCTGTTCATTAGTACTTTCAGTGTTTTCAAATATGCAATTTTTTCAAATTGCATATACTTAAATTATACAGCTGGTAAGTACAGGAACTGTCAGACTCAACAAGCATACTGGCTGGCATGGTTCTACACTGTTGATATAGAGAAGTGATCATCCCTGTTGCCACGGTTACCACTCTAAATGCATAAATACTATTTGTCAAATCTCTCCTACTACACAAGCTCGACTAGATGGGACAATCAAATCCACAAAAATCTGCATGTCGATTAACATTTTAAATTTAAAGAGCTATACCATGATACAATGCAAAATAAAGTTTACAAGAAAACAATACATGTAATAATAAGGATTAAACAAAATCAATAACAACAAGAATTTGTAACAGAGTTACCAACGTCCCCTGCCTCGGGGAAGTTTTATATGAAGCATAAAATTGTGCTATTTCAAAAGATTGAGGTATGGATCTAACGACTTTCAGTCCAAAATTATGATCAATGCTAGATCTGCAAATGCAACAATCAATTTATCAAAGAAATAAAATGAAACACTGAATTTAAAAATCTATCATGTTAACCTTTGATCTATAAGTGTGACCTTGACCTTGGGGTTGGGGTGCAGGTGTTGTGCATGACATATCGTCTTATTATTGTAACCATTTGTACCAAGTATTTTCAAAATCCCTTGAACTATGAAGAAGTTATAGATGGGACACAAAATATACCCTTTAACAGATTATGTTAATCTTTGACCTCTTAGTGTGACCTTGGAGGTAGGGACCCATGTTTTGTGCCTGACATATCGTCTTATTATTGTGATTATTTGTGCAAAGTATTTTTAAAATCCCTTGATCTATGAAAAAGTTATTGACTGGACACAAAAAATACCCTTAAACAGACTATGTAAATCTTTGACCTCTACATATGACCTTGACCTTGGAGGTAGGGACACTGGTGTTACACATGACATGTCATCTTATCATTGTGACTATTTGTGCCAAGTATTTTCAAAATCCCTTGATCTATGAAGAAGTTATGGACGGGACACAAAATATACCATATAACAGACTCTGTTTACTTTTGACCTCTAAGTGTGACCTTGACCTTGGAGGTAGGGGTGCAGGTGTTGTACTTGACATATCGTCTTATTATTGTGACTATTTGTGCAAAATTTATTTCAAAATCCCTTGAACTATGAAGAAGTTCTAGATCAGACACAATATATAACCTTTAACAGACTATGTTAATTTTTGACCTCGAATTGTGACCTTGACCTTGGAGGTAGGGAGGCAGGTGTTGGGCATGACACATCGTGTTATTATAGTGACTATTTGTGCCAAGTATTTTCAAAATCCTTTGATATATGAAGAAGTTATGGACCAGACACAAAATATACCCTATAACAGACTATGTTAATCTTTGACCTCCAAGTGTGACCTTGACCTTGGAGGTAGGTGACCGATTGTTGCACATGAAACATTGTCTCATTGTTGTGAACAATTGTGGCAAGTATTTACAAAATCCCTTCAAAGATAAGAAAGTTAGAGACCTGACACGACATATACCCTCAAATGCGCATAACACAGCCTTTTATTATAACAAACATTTGTGCCAAGTTATTTCAAATTCCTTTGATAAATGACAAAGTTATGGACCGGACACGAAATATACCCTGTAACAGACTATGTTAACCTCCAAGTGTGACCTTGACCTTGGAGGTAGGTGATCAGTTGTAGCACATGACACATCTTCTCATTATTGTGAGCAATTGTGGCAAGTATTTAACAAATCCCTTTAAAGATAAGAAAGTTATGGACCGGACACGACATATACCCTCAAACAGACAATGTTGACCTTGAATGAGCAAGTGTGACCTTCACCTTGGAGGTAGGAGTCTGGTTGTTGCGCATGACACATCATCTTATTATAACAAACATTTTTGCCAAGTTATTTCAAATTTCTTTCATAAATGACAAAGTTATGGACCGGACACGAAAGTGTGACGGACGGACAGACCAGACGGACGGAGCCTATTTCTATATCCCCCTTTTTTCTTCGAAAAGGCGGGGGACAATAAATACCTACTTTTGATCTTTACTGACTTTGTAGAAATAGTCTACATATTCTGATCTACCCAGTAACTCAACAAAACCTTCATTGTGGGTAATGATTACCAGCTGAAAGTTTCTTTGGTGAATACGTCCTTTAATGATCCTGGCAAGAGATATATTTGTTTATTAACCAATTAGGATAATTAGCTAACAACAGCTATACTTTATAAAACTTATGCAACAGACTTGTTCAGCTTTGAATTTGGAAGTGCTATGTTAGGTTCCAGGGTTTTTTTTGTATCACGATTCTAATAGTGAGCTGCCAAAGTATGGTACCTGACCAGGCTGCAAAGAAATGCATTTAAGCTGGCAAGGTCACAAGTCTGTAAATATCCCCTCTAACACTTGAAGGTTTAACATTTATTTGAGCTGTTCAGACATGACCGATCCTGGTGGTATAGATTAATTAATATTGCTGCTTAATTACATGTAGTGAGTTTAGACGATCATTACTGAAACTTTTGAATCCACAATCACAGTCTCTTAAGAAAATCCATTCCCTTCTTGAACAGTGTAAACTCAAACTAAACTTTAAACTATTTTCTCAAAAAAGCTTTCTATAAAAAACCTTTATTCCTCTATTACAATGTAGCTTTGGAATAAGCAGAGTTTAACCAAACAAGAGCTGTAGGTAGGACAGCAACGCTCTACTATTCTTAGTGCTTGATAGTAAAAGAGCCTTGATAATGTAAAATTTTCTGAGTTAACAAAAGGACATTTTTTTTCTTTAAATCCATGTTACAGTTATAGGCCTTGGAGAGAGTCCTATAATGCTCTCAAAGAAGAGTATAAAATTTCAACTTGTTTCAATACAATATGAAAATATCGGAGGTGGTATGCAAACCTAAATGTACATTCTAAGTTGAAAAGGGGGCATAATTCTGTTAAAATGCTTGATACAGTTACTTCATTCTGTCTACAGGTGGGGGTCATGATGGTGAACGATTGTGCAAAGTTTCAAAGCCATATGTATATGGACTTTGAAAATATTTGAGGTATTACAAAAACTTTAACATAAGTGGTTAAGCCGACGCGGACACTCGGGTGACTACAATAGCTCTACTTATTCTTACCGAATAGTCAAGCTTAAAACAAATATAACCTGCATGCCAACCCATCCCAATGCTGTTTTTTTTTAATACATTGATTCAGTCAGGGGTAAAATTCCCCAAAAGTTTAAAATCCTAGAAAAGACATTGCGTCAGTAAACAGATTAATTTCCGCGAAATTAAAAAAATATATTTCATGTTAGGTTGCAAGTCAAACAAAATCTGTTTTAAGTTAATATGGCAGATTTCTAGCTTTCTTGGTGGAGAAATATGAAACAGGTCAATCCTAGCAATATATCAGACAAAAGCCAGCATCTGGGTAAAACCACCGACAATTCAGATACAAAGCTTTATTACAGAATGACTGCAAGTGTCCAAAAATAAGGCTGACTCGACTACACATGACCGGTCGTAAATATTTATACTCATATATACTTACTCCACTAGTGCATCAGCTAAACTTTCAATATTTTCTCTATCCAGATTGGTTGTGGGTTCATCTAGTGCTAAAATTCCGCAGTTTAAACAGAATGTCTCTGCCAGGGCCAGGCGTATTATCAACGATGCCAGTACCTAAACAATATCATGAATAAGATAGTGAGCATTTAACCTGTTGATGTATAAACGAAAACACAACATCTAAAATATAAATAAAAATATTGTCAGTAGATCTAATAAGTTTTCCAATCATTTATTTCATCCTTAAACTTATTATAAATCTCATTATAGCATTCATTATCAAAGAAGAAAATCAGCACTGGTTAATTTTTTTAACTATCTGGTTTTTTTTTACTTTAATTAAAGATACATCAGAAAGTTCACCTTTTGTCCAGCACTACATCTCCCCCTCATGTCTATCACAGCATCCCCAGGTTTGATCATCACAACACGATAGTTATACGTCTTACGTGTATTTATGGCCGTGGAATCATCCTCATCTGAACGTATCTCTATAGTTTCTATGTCTGTAAAAAACAAATATATAGAGGATATTGAAGTTTTTTCTATAAAAACAGGATTTATTTTAAAATAAATATTTCATGAGTGACAGTCGAACCTACAACCCTTTTCACATTGTCTAAGGTTACAATATACTTAGCTTCTCATTGGCTTTGGCTAATACTCCATGAAAATTGCATGGAGGTAAATGATGCCCATTTTGTGCTTCAAAAATTAACATTTAACAGCATGAGTGGTGACAAGTCCAGGGTCCATACTCCACTGCTAACACTGCTTTTTGTGCTTTTATGGGCAAATGGTCCCTCATTAAACATAGAATACATACATATATCCCTGTTTCTTGTATTATCGTGGTTTCTCGTATTATCGTGGAATTATTAAAACGGATGGAAGCGACACTCGCGACTTTCATTGATATCTGAAAACTTGTCGATTTAGAAGAGCTTTTTCATCTCCGGCAAAAATAACGAAAGAAATGCGTCAAAAACAGATAAAAAACAAAATAACTTTGGAAATTATCGTAAAATCCAGAGAAAAAAACATTAAATCTATTAGTTTTCCCCCGCCCCCAAAATCATAAATTTTCTAGTTTTTTTCCATGTTGCAGAAACCTGTAGCGGGTCTCTGACACAGGCACATCAAATGACGGTCTCACACTACTATATGTACAATACAGCTCAAAATATTTGTTCCACAAATAGATAATATACAAAACATATGAACTCCAATTAAAAACCAATAATGAAACATTGTTTAACCTTATCATTTTTTATTTTTGACAACAAAACAACAAAAACATTTGCCGCTGCTATGGAAAGCTGTAGTATTCAGTGCTAAATGCTCATATAACTAATAAGTAAACATAAACTTAATATATTTGAGAGGGATTATGTAAACAACACTTAACTGAGTTCAAACTATTTTTGGAACAAACCAAATCATTTGGTACCAAAGAAGCTTCAATATGATCCTAAAAAGTTTGATTATGGCCTACCAAGATGTTATTAAAACACTAATAATTACATGGCCAAGCCATTTAACACTTAATTTGGAGTTGCACTAATGATTTGAACTGGTGTATAGAATAAAATCATCACTTGGCGACCCAGCCTTAACAACCAATCAAATTTCACGATAATATGAGAAAGCATCTGCTTCACATAGAGGGTTAAGGTCAGTTTATAAAAGCAGAAATATTTTTTGTTTTCCTTACGGTTAAGATCTTTCTTCCATTATATTTTCTTAAAAAGGTATTTTTCTGGGTCTCACCTGGGTATCAGGCTAAAAAATACTGTACCAAAACGTTTTATAAAAATTATCCAACCAAGTTTAGTCCTTAGCCCCACGATAATACAAGAAAACAGGATACACACCCTTTATTGTAATCTTACAAAATCCTTTTCAATAGGAAGCACACTATAAGAAATAGATACCAAATTAACATTTTACCTTGACCCCTGTATGTCTGTCTCCACAGGTCTCGGATAATTTTGTTTATCTCTGACATCTTCATTTTGTGGTATTTCATGATAGCCCTATCAAAATAATAAATAGCAGACTTGTATCAGTGATAAAACTTAACCCAGGGATTTTATTAGAGCTATGCCAATAGTTCAGAGTCTGGAAAAATGGTTCATCATTCTGCATAGTCTGGCAAGATCCAACACTGTTTGCTTCCAAATACTAAAATTTGATACTGCAGATATTTTTACTACTACAGAACTGTTACAAATTCAAAGTCTTTCATGCAAAGTCAAAGGGTTTATGGTTTAAGAAAAACATGTTGCTATTTCTTTACTAGATGATAAGAAACATGAAAACAAGCAATTATCATAGTATTGCAAGCAATCCATTAGTCCCCTACCAGTTAGAACCCCAGCAACATTCTGATGGGCCATTGGCCATTCAATTTTACCAGTGAATGAATGACATGAGTGAACTTAAATCTTTTGAGTTCTAAGTTTGTCTATATCATAGTAATGTGTCAAGTTTCCCTGCCTAGTAAGGAAATTATGTTTATACAACAGATAATCAAAAGGTCCAATTTTCTCAGGATGAATAAGTTTAACTAATGTTTCAACTTTTCTCTATTTTTAGTAAATTTGTTGGAAAAAATCTTTAAAAGTGATCTCAGGAAACAGTTTTTATGAACAGACAGACAGACTGAAGGAGACTCTTAAGTTATTTTTTTTAAACATCCCTGTTACCAAAATATAACATATTTTAATACAAAATTCTTAAAGAGGAGATAACTCTTGAAATAACGATGCCAGATTTATGAACATTGATGCAAGTTTTACTTTGAGTTTAAAGATACCATTTATAGTCACAAAGAAGATAAGTAAAAAAATCAACAATTTTCAAATATAGCAATTAACTATAATGTATAGTAAGTAACAAAGTTAAAAATTAAAAACAAAAATAGAATGTAGGTGTTGATAATGAATGTTTATTTTGAATTTGAAGAAAGTCCATGAAGAAATAAGAAAGTTAAAGAATGGATAAGAAAAATTCAAAGTTTAAGGAGGAAATAGTTCTGAAAATATGGATCTAGTTTTATAAACCTTGTCATATTATTATGATGTGAGATTTTTAAGTAAATCCTATAAGGAATGAAGAAGTTGGAGTAAAAAATACCAATTTCTGGAAAAGAATCTAAGTTCAAGGGGGACATAATTCTAGTAATAGTTTTGCTAGAGTATTTAACCTTCTCATAAATGTTGAGTGATAATAAGAAACATATATATGAAGTTTGAAGTAGATACATTAAGAAATAAAGAAGTTATTTAAAAAAGACAAGTTCAAGGGAGGTAATTCTGATAATTTTTGTGCTAGAGTTGTAAACCTTGTCACATATGATGTGGTTGATGACCAGAAACTTATATTTAAAGTTTGAAGTAAACACCTTAAGAAATAAAGAACTTACAGTGACAAAGCGTAAAAATTCTAATCAGAAATCTTGAAATTCAGTCTATTTGTTGCCATAGCAACCAGTGTTTTCAACATAGGAAAAAAAGAAAAAGATGTGCATAATTTCCAGACTGTCATCTACCCATATTTCAAGTTTCATAAAAATATTTTCAGTACTTTTTGTGTTATCACTGGATCCAGTTTAAAATTTGCCATATTTTCAGTCTATTTGTTGCCATAGCAACCTGAATTTTCAACATAGGAAGAAAAGAAAAAGACGTGCATAATCTCCATACTGACATTTATCCATATATCAAGTTTCATAAAAATATTTTCAGTACTTTTTGCGTAATCGCGGGATCCAGTTATGTGGACGGACGGACGGACTGACAGACCGACAGAGGGTAAACCTAAAGTCCCCTCCGGTTAAACCGGTAGGGGACTAACAAGAATGCATTAGTGAAAAAAGAAGTTTTGTCAGAAGTTATTTGTTTTTAAAGATTAACGATAAATCACACCTCTCTGTATCAAAATTAAATCTTTTAAATAAAATAACATTTTTGTCTAATTTCTCTCTGTCTTCAAAATTACACTAAAACAGTATTTCATTAACAATTTTTAAAAGATATGCAAATTTTTCAGTTTTACTTGTGAAACACAACCAAATGTTCTGATTAACATACAACTTTTGGCACGTTGAAAAGCCTTTTTATTTTTCAGTTTCACTTGTCTCATATTTTAACCCAGATATTGTTTCTTGATAAGCATTCATTGGCACCAACATTTTTTGAAAGCTAACTTATAACACGCCATATTGAAAAATTTAATTGTCACCAGAAAGTTTAAATTTTACAATCATGCAACAACATTCACAGTTTGTAACATTTAGCTCTTTAAAAAAAATAAATAAATTACAAGGGAAATGAGTTCTTGTTTCAAACATACTTATCTAGTGCATGTTCATATTTCTCTAAATCTTCATTGGCCAGTTCTGTTGTCTGAAATAACATTACAACATTTGGCAGTGAATATAAGAAAATATTTCCATAATTGCCATGATGATTAAATACACTGTAAGAATCAAAAGTTTGAGAAGATACAAGTATGTTCAGACATAAATAAAATTCTTACATTATAAATCAGAGATTTCAGATATATCAACAAACTTATGATTCATACTTAATAAAATTTAACAGGTGCTACAGAATGGAATGAGTTTAAAACCAGTGAATCAAAATGATTAACAGATTTAATTCAGAATGTTTTCCTTTGAAGCTGAGTTTGAAGTCGAGTCTCACACATATATACCTAAAGTAATGTGGCAACTCAAAAGCCATACTGGAAGAATAACACTTCCATCATGAAATAATTTTAATCCATGGCAGGAAAATAACCAGTAATATTTTGGGAACAAATTGAATTTAAGTATGTATCTTCAATGCCTTGAAGCAAAGTAGACCATATTCTTATATTTAATTAATAACCTCATTCAGGACTTGCATTAAGTTACAAAATTTGGAAGTCAGAGACTTCAAAATTTCTCAAACTGAAAGTCACATTATGTAGTTAAAGTAGAAAAGTATTACATTTTGGAAGTCATAGGCCAAAATCAAGGAGTAAATGACTTCCAAACTTCCACCAATGGAAGCCCTGCTCATTTCAAACATTACCAAGATAGAAACACAAGCTACGGGACCAAAAAGCACTATATATCAATAAAATTTATCATGCAAACACTAGACAAGAACCATCTGTAACACATACAAAAAGATGAGACTTGAACCATGTTCTCTTACTGTAAGGTCAATTATCTTGTTACGATATTTCTCCTCCGCTCCTTTATACATGTCTGTTTGTAACTCCTCCTTCACAGCTCTAATCTGATTCTCCAATTCTGTCTGACGGCCTTCCGTGGTATACCGCTGGATTGAATAAGAAAGTATTTAAATAACAAATGAACATCATCATCAATTTGTAACTCAACCCTTTCAAAATATAATAAATATAACAAATTGTAAAATTTGTAATTGATAAAACATGAATTTTGTCATTCATGTACAAAGCATAATATACAATAATTGTGAGATGATGAAGTAAATATCCCTGTCTATGGCTGGCTAATGTGATTTTTAACCGTTTTAACCGTTTGGTAAATTTTCAAAGATGTCTGAATTCCGTTTTCATTCAAACAAGCCCTAAACAAGCAAACAGGCAGCACAGTAATTGTTTTTTCTGTTTAAGGCATTAGATCCCTTTCTAAAGTGTATAATTTACACATGATTTTTCTTTTACACAACACTGTTTTTATTTGTTTGGGTCGTCAGACCAAACAAATAATGGTAGCGAAATTTCAGAGCCTAATACTGTTAATTGCAAATGCCTAAAGTAGTCCACTTTTTTGAAGCGGTTACTTCCCTTTATATGTACACTGACGCTGAAAAATTCAGGGGAGATCAATGCGTAAAGATTGTCAAATGACAGGGGCATTGATTTTCAAGCAAAGTAGTTCCCGAATGGTCGAAGATTTCTAATATTGTTCATTCCTTATAGATATACATGCTTATAGTAAGCTCCATGATTATTTACATCTGGGTTAAACAACAGGTTTAGCGTCGAAATAATAAGAGTTACAAACCCTAATTTAGAGTAATATATTTTTCTTCAGGCCATTATAACTTCACCGTGGCCGAGGGGTTTGCACACTCGCTTATGAATCGAGAGGTCTGGAGTTCAAATCCCAGTTGAGGCGACTCATTTTTTAAAAAAATTTTTAAGTCAAATAAACATTGAATTGACTATCAGTGTTGCAATAAGTCTTATAGCCAATTTACTACAGTCATAACACTGGAAAGCATTGGTGGCACTATACAACAAGAGAGCCATGATGGCCCTGAGGTCGCTCACCTGTATATAGGCCCCCGGAGCGGGGCCAGTTTAAACCCCAGGGCTTTTATTTGAACAAACTTGGAAGACACCTATTAGAAGATGTTTCATGATCTACACACACATATAATGAAAAACAATGACCTTTGCAGCCCCCCCCCCCCCCCCCCCCCCCCCCCCCCCCCCCCCCCCGCAGGACTAATTTTAACCCAAGGGCTTTTATTTGAACAAACTTGGTAGACACCCACAAGAAGATGTTTCATGTTAAGCATCTTACCTCTAGTTCATTAGGGTTTTTTAAAAGAAGATTTTTTAAGTTTTTACTATACACATATAATTAAAAACAATGACACCTCTGGGGCGGGCCAGTTTTGACCCCAGGGCTTTTATTTGAACAAACTTTGTAGACACTTACTAGAAAGATATTTTATGCTTAATATCTAAACTCTAGCTATTTGGCTTTTTTTCAAAGAAGATTTTTAAGTTTTTGCTATACACATATAAGGAAAATCAATGACCCCCGGGGCGGGGCTAATTTTGACCCCAGGGCTTTTATTTGAACAAACTTTGTAGACACTCACTAGAGGATGTTTCATGCTTAATATCTTAGCTCTAGCTCTTTGGGTTCTTTAAAAGAAGATTTTTTAAGTTTTTGCTATATGCGTATAGGGAAATCAATGACCCCCTGGGGCGGGGCCAATTTTGACCCCAGGGCTTTTATTTGAACAAACTTGGTAGACACTCATTAGAAGATGTTTCATGCTAAATATCTTAGCTCTAGCTCTTTGGCTTCTTTAAAATTTTTTTTAAAGTTTTTACTATATGCATATAGGGAAAATCAATGACCCCCTGGGGCGGGGCCAATTTTGACCCCAGGGCTTTTATTTGAAAAACTTGGTAGACACTCACTAGAAGATGTTTCATGCCAAATATCTAAGCTCTAGCTCTTTGGGTTTTTTAAAAGAAGATATTTAAATTTTTTTCTTTCGGTTGCCATGGTAACCAGAGTTCTGCATGGAATTAAATTCTTTGAACAATTTTTAAAGGTGACCACCAAAGGAACATTCCTGTAAAGTTTGGATGAAATTGGCTTAGTGGTTTATGAGGAGATGTCATTTAAAATAAAAGTTAACGGACGGACACCGGACGAAAAGAGATCACAAAAGCTCACCCTGTAACTTTGTGACAGGTGAGCTAAAAACAAATTGGTTTATAATCTCACAACCTTCACCTTTCTGACATTCTGAGACCCAAACAAATTCAGTGCCTTCTGTGCTTTGATTGATTATATGAGCAATTTACTATATTGGCTACTAATTATGGATGGTAAAATTTAGCCCAATGTTTGATGATGAAGTTTGTTTTGATCAATATCAACAGGTCAATATCACTTTGTATTGACCATTAATCACAACATCAGAAATTTGGTAAATTGGTAGTAAAATTATTAAGCTTGTTATCACATAATTCTGATATTATATAATATTGTTAATTTTGTTACATGAATACTAATTTCTGTATCTCATTATTATAAATATAAACATGTGAATTTTGTTATTCACATCAAATCATCAACAGTTCGGACTTACCTGTTTTTTTTAGATTTTCCTTTTCTTGGTGTAGACATCTCCGTTCCCTGTCTAGTTCAGCCACATCTAAATCTTTAAGTTTACTCTCCAGGTCAACAATCTTTTTACTGATCTTTTCTATCTCTTTCTGTTTATTTCTCAAATTCAGATTATTCTGAAGATCAAGTTCTTGTACCTTGAAAACATGATATTAAATTTTTATACCTAATTTGATTAAGTTTATCTCTTTTTGTTTATTTCTCAAATTCTGGAGGTCAAACTCACGTACCTTGAAGATATGATATTTAAAGTTGATTAAGTTTTTTTTCTTGATAAAAGCATTAGTCATATCAATATAGTTGTTCATGTCTTTCTTTAACAAAAATGTACTATCACATAGTTTTATGATAAACCTATAAATTTTTAAATAAAGAGACATAATCATTTTTTTGTATTAACATTAAAGTAATACAAGAACAAGAAGGATAGCATGCTCAACTATTCTCAGTGCTTGATAGTAAAAACAAGAGCCTGGATAATATAGAATTTTCTAAGTTAAAAAAGGTTAAAATACATGTTAAAGTTACAGGCCTTGCCCAGTGACTTTCTATAATGTTCTCAAATAAATGTATGAAGTTTCAACCCATTCCCTTTAGCAGTTTTGGAGAAACTGACTTGCATGCAAAAAGACTTAACCGAAGTGTGATGTCAACACCGACGCTAGGGTGAGTACAATTACTTTACATATTCTTTTAATAGTCAAGGTAAAAAGATAATGTCATGAAATTTGATCTGATTGCCCTTGAGATAAATGCAGAGATTGCATTTACCATCCAGTTAACCCTTTACCTCATATATACGCGAAACAACACACTTTCGACCCCCCCCCCCCCCTTTTTTAGGCCTGAAATAGTGAAAAAATGTCCTATTTGGGCCCCAAACACATGTTTTTGTTTGAGAAATGTTGTTAAAAAAAGTGAGCACTTTTTCGGCGCTGCCCCCATCCAAAAGATACATCAGGGGGTTGCCAGAAGGGGGATATGCCCCCTTCTGTTTCGGGGGTTTGAAGTGGGCGGAGTCCCCCTCATCGCCAAAAAATTTTGGACTTGTGAGAGGCTGAATATGACCCCAGGTCGATCATAAGGTAAGGTGTAACCAATGCTGAAAAGCCTTTGACTCTATCTCAATCCCTTGAGAAGTTGCAGCACTTTAAAATAAATTTTGATTGAAAAAAACGAGGCAAAATAGTGATTTTTGGCAATTTTGAGATGTCCCCTCGTTGCCATGGTAACAGGAAATTTAAGACTGAGCATGTCCTTACAAAGGCAATGGTCCAGTCAACATTTGTGCCAAGTTGGATTAGTATTGAAGCATTTTTCATAGTTTCATAGCAGTTTGAACTTGTAACAGGAGGCTTTTCACTGAAAACGGCCATTTTTGCGACGGACGCGCCCTCAGGCGCATTCAGAGCTAAGTCATCTACACATGGGATTTTGTCAGCTACAATTGCGCAAAGTGTCCTCAACCGATTAACAGCCAAAGAAATAGTACATGAATTTGATCCTTTAAAACTCCCATACTTTGTTGGGATATCTTAAAATCTTCCATATTTAGCCTTTTCAATTTCAAATTAAGTTATCCAAGTTAAAATATGAACGTATATGATTGATAAAAACGTTGTAGTCCCGTAGAATTATTGCGCCATATGCAAATTACTGCCGAAACGATTTACCGCTGTCGAAAAAGTAGGACAGCAAATTATACTATAATAAAGGTGTAAGCTCTGAGTTCCAAGAAATTATTAGTAGGAAATAAATATTTCTTCATTATACAAAACGTTATTATTAACAAATCAAAAGTTTTTCGTGACTCTGGAATAACTCACGCATTAATAAAAAAAAAACTTTTTTCGTGACTCTTCCGCGGGTTTAGCAGAATATTCAGCAGTTATTAATAAATTAGATACAGTACAATGGTTAGTATAAGTATCTATTTTTGAAAATGCATGTAACAAGAGAGTTTTTCAACACTTTACCACCATGTAGTCTTTCATGGTAATCTTTATTGAAGGAAGTTATAATATCAGTTCTACTTCCGATTCTTGTGGTTTGTTTACATATTTTTCTAGGTCACGATATGAGTTAACCTTCGCTATTCTAAAAATAGATTCTGCTTCACCTGTGCTGATTTTTGGACAGGCGATTAGGGAGTACACATTATACATGTAATAAACCAGCGGATTACATGCAATACTTTTAGAAATTCTATACAATTGTAAGAAGCAAACAAGTTGAAAATGGAATTTAGTGTGAAATTGAAAAGGACAACTAAACACTGTAGTGCTTAAGTGACATTTAAATTAAAATAAAAAAGATGTGCTCTGGCCTCTACATCTTTACCTTGTAAATAAAAAAAATCTAAAAAATACACTATTAATTGCTGATGATTTTAACCAAAAATATTTTTAATGAGACATATCCAAGAGAAATAAAAATACAAATGACTTATATTTTATTGTCTATATGCCCACTATGATATAACACAAAGCAATTCTAAATAGCATTCTCACATGTATAATGTATTATGCTTGAAGTTTATTTGCATGGTTTTATTTAAGAAATATTTTGTTGACAGTTTTTTTTTTCTATTTACATGTCATGTCTTGGAATAAATCGATAAGGACACTGATTTACAAGTTTGACCAGAGTTTTTAGGCATAAATTTCATTCTGTATTTAAATAAAATCTGAATTATATCAGTTTGGGACACAAAATATATTGCTCTACAAATCTCGAACTTGTATGGAACAAATTTTCTCTGTTACATATTTTGTGTTTTGTTTTTTTTCTAAAAAAAGCCTTAATGTCTTTCTGGTTGCATGTCCGTCGCATTCAGTGCTGCAGCACTTTGATTCACAATATGCTCATGTGGGAAAGGGTTAAAATTAGAAATATTATTCACCTTTTGGGTAGAAAGATCTTTTCTCCATTTGTCAATATTGGTAACAATATCTTTCAGCTCTTCTTCAATGGTGACCATTTTTTTCTCTTTTCTCTCCTTGTCAGCCTGGTTCTCTTCTAATTTGCTCGCTTTCCCAGACTGGTTATAACTACAAAAATAACTGTGTGATGAATGTAAGAGAACATTCTAAATAAGGGACATAAAACATTGAATTTTCTCTAATTCAGAGTTATTTTTATTTTAAAAGCACTGTGTATTAATTTCTTATTTTAAGTATTTGTCAAAAATACATACATGTACATGATAAACAAAAAGCAATTACCTTATTGTAATGCTACATTACTGCATTTGTGTGATAAAGTGGTCTAGCTTTGACTTTGGTATTGTCATAAGTCAGATTTGGAGATTTCAATTCTTAAAAAACTTAAACTGTGCAACCAATAGTAGATTATGGTCAGGCTGGCCTGATTCTATACTGGTGGTAAAGGGAAGTTAATGTCACTGTAAATGACGTAGTAAATGAAGTAACCGTACAAGTAATTATCTCAATGCTGTTTTATTTATGAAGGCCCATCTACATAATGTATGCTTTCACAACTCAGAGAAAATAGTGCCCCTCATTGACATTTTAAAATGAGCCCAGTTATATTTATCAATGTGTACACAAAACACAGGTAATTACAGCCCTTCATTACCTGTATACAGCCACGCAAGCATGTACATAACCAAAAGTTAATTGATCAACTTTTGCCACAAGAATAGTGCATCAGCACAGTCTGTTCAGGCTTTATACAGTTGGCTAACAAATTTAAGTCTTCATAAACAAAGGCCAGACAAGCTCACTTTAGGAACAGAATAGGTTATGGGTTAACTGCCTGATATCAAAATCTCTAAAATTAAAATTAACATTGGAAAGTTAAAAATTCGTTGGGGTGGGGACATATTCATTATACAAACATACTATTGTAAAGGTTAAGCTTCATTAAGTTATGACAATGTTAAGAGAAATCTTTTAACAGTTTCATCAGTTACAAACCTTTCAATATCCTGGTTAATATTTTCCACTTTACTAGCATGGCCCTTCACTATTTCAACCTTCAAACACACAAAACGATAAAAATTGTAGATATACATCTTGAAATCAAAATCATTCACTTCTTAAATATAGGATTCCAAAATTTTATTAAAAATGCAACATGTACAAGAAATATACATTTTTCAATAATATTCGAATTTCTTTCCAAATATGGAATACATGTTCTTTCCTCTTAGTCCCTGGTGGGAATCAAACTCAATCACAGTGGACAGAAGTGAAGTGTTAAGTACTGTATATATGGATATTTCTGTGTGAATTAGTGAATTTAAAATTCCAGACATTTCGCTTGAGGAAATATAAGCCAATTGCCAATTTTGGAGAAGCGTGAAAAGAGGTTGGTTTCTGATACTTATACTAGAGGAAATTTTAGCTATTTTCATCAATTTGTGAAATTTGCCAATATTTCCTTGGTGCTAATCAACCACTTATACAGTAGTCAGACACAGACAAACTTAAAGCCCATATAAATTATCTAACCAACTGTAAAAACAACAGGTATAAATATTAGCATTAAAACTTAAATTTGCTTTATGACATCCTTATTCTCTTGTTCAGTCACAAATAATTTGATAAAAAATATGCCAAATGTGGCAACTAAGTTGAGCTCACCGCAAGCGGCTCAACAATATAAATAAACAAGAAAAGTCACAAAAACTTTAAAATATTCAAGAGAAACAAACAAACCGCTGCTTTTGCAGTTTCTAGCTTTTCCTCTTTCTTTTTTATCAAATCTTCTTTTTCCGTTCCGAATCTGTCCAATTTACTCTGAAATCATGTTTAAAGTTTTAACATACTATAATACACCCATAAACACTTTTCATATGAACTAGGTAAATAACCGAGGTATATCCAGTCTCATCTCATACGCTAAAACAATACGAATTAAGCAATTTTTAAACCGCTAGTTTGTTGTGATTACATTTTAAAAATTATTACATCAATGGAAAGCTTGGGATCTTAGCTTTGTCACAGTATATAATTTAACATATCTTTTGACACCAAAGTATTTAAATTAACTGTTAAACCTACTATATGTCAGCCCATTTTACATACGATTTATACAGTGAGATACGTAACCGGTTATCTTTACTCGAAAACCTACTGATAAGAAAAGCCTGTCGTCTGCTAGTTGGGGAAAGTGTTTATCGGTGTATTTCTACCCACAAGTAAAGCAGCCAGAAACTTAAACATTAAATATATCCTTTTTCATGACTTTATTAGTGACAAGAGATTGTCACAAAAAATGTTTTCTGCCAATATTACCTGCATGTGAATAAAAACTTCAACTGGTGTAGGATTTAAAGGGAAGACATGGTGAGACAGAAACTAAAAAGAGGGGCATCGTAGCAAAATAAGAGGACAAACAAATATATTCAGCAATAAAAAAATAAGGGACAAAGGCCTTCTATTAAACAAAAGAATATAACAAAACAAATTGCTCCATATTCGATTTAAACAGTATGTCTGTACCAACATTTAGGTTTTATGGGCTTTTTCTAAAATCCTCAAGTCTCATTTATCCATATAAATCTGTGAACTTTTCAGTTGATGTGGTTACCTTTTTAGCTCACCTGAGCATGCTCAGGGTGAGCTTTTAGGATCGATGATTGTCCGTCGTCTGTCCGTCCGTCGTCCGTTCACATTTAGTTGTTAACACTCTAGCAGTCGCATTTTTGCCTCAATCATCATCAATCTTGGTCAGGATGCTTATCTAGTTGATAGCTTGGATGAGTTCGAACATAGGTCATCTCGGATGAAAAAGTAGGTCACCGGAGCTAAAAATAGGAAAAAAACCTTGTTAACACTCTATGCGGTCACATTTTTTGCATTCAATCATCATCAAACTTTGGTCAAGATGCTTGTCTAGGAGATAGCTCGGATGAGTTCCTTGAACATGGTCATCTCGGATGAAAAAAAGTAGGTCACCGTAGCCTAAAAATAGAAAAACCTTGTTAACACTCTAGCGGTCACATTTTTACATTCAATCATCATCAAAACTTGCGTCAAGATGCTTGTCTAGGAGATAGCTTCGATGAGTTCGAACATGGGTCATCTCGGATGAAAAAGTAGGTCACCATAGCTAAAAAATAGAAAAAAACCTTGTTAACACTCTAGCGGTCACATTTTTTGCATCAATCATCATCAAACTTGGTCAGGATGCTTATCTAGTTTGATAGCTTGGATGAGTTCGAACATGGGTCATCTCGGATGAAAAAGTAGGTCACCGGAGCTAAAAATAGAAAAACCTTGTTAACACTCTAGCGGTCACATTTTTGCATCAGTCATCATCAACTTGTCAAGATGCTTGTCTTAGGTGAAAGCTCGGATGAGTTCGAACATGGGCGATCCGGATTGAAAAGTAGGTCACCGGAGCTAAAAATAGAAAAAAAACCTTGTTAACACTCTAGCGGTCACATTTTTGCATCAATCATCATCAAACTTGATCAAGATGCTTGTCTAGGTGATAGCTCGGATGAGTTCGAACATGGGTCATCTCAGATGAAAAACTAGGTCACAGGAGCTAAAAATAGAAAAAACCTTGTGTAAACACTCTAGTGGTCACAATTTTTGACTCAATTGTCATCAAAAATTTGCGTCAGGAAACTTGTCTAGGTCATTGCTGGAATAAATCGAAACATGCTCATCATGGATGAAAAACTAGGTCACAGGAGCTAAAAAAAGAAAAATTTCTTGTTAACACCTCTAGTTGGCTACTGTTTTTATCCAAATATTCTGTTAATTGGTCTGAAAGTTTGTTTTGGATGATTTTCTAAGTCAAGATCTAACACCGCCTAAATATGGAAAAAACCTTGTTAACAGTCTAGTGGTCACATTTTCGACTCAATTATCATCAAACTTGGTCAGGATGCTTGTCTAGGTAATTGCTTGGATGAGTTTCGAAATTGCATGTGAAACTAGGTCACCGGAGCTTAAAATAGAAAAGTCTTGTTTACACTCTAGTTGCTACTGTTTTTGATCCAAAGTATCCTGGAAATTGTCTGAAAGTTTGTTTGATGATTTCTAGGTCAAGTTTGAATATGTGTCACCTGGGTAAAAAACTATGTCGCATTGCTCAAATATGGATAATCCTTGTTAACACTATAGTGGTCACATTTTTGACTCACCTGTCATGAGACTTGGTCAGAATGCTTGTCTAGGTAATTGTTTGAATGAGTTTGATAAGTCAGGTGAGCGATCTAGGGCCATCATGGCCCTCTTGTTTAACTAAGCTTGTGGATGGAATATAGCTTATAATTCAATGAATCTCGCACAAGACTGACTGATAGAATGACTGACAGCAGAAAAACTTACTGGCAGGCGCTACCAAGTGATTTCAGTATAGTCCCCTCCTAATTAATTACATTGTATGTGGTAGGGGTATAACAAAAACTTACATGAGACAGACACAAACTTACTTGTATGAGTCTCAACTTTTCTGCTGTATCCTGAAAAATATAGACATTAATTTAGTTAAGGTTTACATGTACATATCAGCAATTAAAAATGTATAAAAGGTCCGAATAGCTTTATTTGGGCTTCACAAGAATATGTTATATGCATACCTGTGACAAATAACTTGTAAATAAAACAATTTTTTATTATGTCAAAAACACATTAAGCTACACTTTTAAGTTAAAGCAGGCTATAGAATTAATAATACTAAATTCAAATGTTTTGCGTTTTAACAATTTTCACATAAAAAACAACAACATAACGTTTAAAGATTTTGGACCCCCCCCCCCAAACCTCAAACAACAAAAAAAACCCCAACAACAACAAACAAATGCCAAACTAACCAACCTTTATATCGTGTTCATGCATAGTATTCTCTGACTCTAGATTTCCTTTATCTTCTTCCAGTTGTATCTGTTCAGAGTGGTCAGCCAACTTCTGACGCTTATGATCCAAACTCTTTGTAGATGAATCTCTGAAATTAAAGAAATTACCATTCAAATCAAGACAAAATCAACATTGTTAAATGGTGTTAACGATAAATGTTTAAACAATTTATTGTAAATTTTGGGTCACAGTTAGGTATATGATAAGATGACTCGTACAGCATTTCCCTATTCAAAGAACAACAGAAAGGATCAACAAACATAGCATTTTCAAATACTGTAACACTCCTATCAGCAACTATAAAATACGAAGTTTCCATGTTAACTTTCCTTCGAAAGAAAATAGTTTTAGTTTAGGTCATCATATATCTGAAACCTAAATTTGTTTTCTGGATACGTCATTCATGGTACCAACACAGTATAGTCATATGGTGACTTTCCAACTGAACTAGAGGAGGAAAACCTCAGGTGTCCTTCTGTACATTATTTCAGGCACAAGCAGGAACCTAAGTAGAACCACCAACATTCCGTAAGCTTGCCGGATAGCTTCCAGTAGATTCCAAAGTTACTGATGGGAATTGAACCCACAGCGGTGACAGGCAAGTGGTTTGAAGTCAACAACCTTAACCATCCAGTCACTGACACCCCAACATAAACAATCATTTTCTCACAAAGCCAATTTTGTTGACAAGAAAATATCAATGTAAATATTTTATGATAAAATACATACACTTTGTCCTGCAAATCCTCCTTCTCATCAATGACCATCTGAACAGTCCTCCCAGAATCTAAAAATATTGATACAGGAAAATCTCTGAAGTTTATCATAAAAGAATAAGGAGGATATCCCTGACATGAAAAACTGTATTGGGCATTCAAATATACATATGTTTATTTGTACATAGATTCATACATGTTGAAAATTTTAAACAGTCAATAACTAACAATCAGCCAATAGGCAGAAAATATTGAAATTCTTGAGCGGATTGTGTGTTAGAAATGTCTTCCCTAAAACTCCACAATCTTTTAAAGCTTACTAACCTCCCCCTGAAAGTTTAGCTGCTTGCATAGCAATTTTCTTGTCTAGTTCCGATACGTCACCAAAGTATCTGTCCATCATAACAATATCTGGTTGTATTTGTTTAGCCATAGCTTCATCATCTTCTTTTATCTTCAATTCTTCCTCTATCTACAATATGACAAGTCTTTGTTTAAGTGTAAATTACAATAATAATACAGATATTGAGAACCATAGTGTCCACTGAGCAGAAAGATTTTATTCTGAAATCATTACATTAGTGACAATTTCTACATCCATTTTCATGACTTAACAAGTCACTGGAAATTGTGTCATTCAAGAAATTGTCACAAAACATGTTATCTACCAATATACACATGCGAAAAGAAAGAGAGGAAAAAAAAACAACATTAACAATGTTTCAAGGGCCATAAGTTTCCAAAAACTAATTGAATCACAAATTCAAGATAGAACTTGCCAAAGTACTTGATGGCAATCATTCTGTATAGGCATGGCTAAAAACCATTGACAAATGTAGAAATTATCCTTTCTTTTATGCCAACCACTATCCACCTGATAACATTTTAGTAATTTAATAACCAGATTTTACTGTTGGGAAAACCAGGTTAATAAACCGTCACAAGTAAATACAAATAGACATACTTTGGTAAGGTCCTCTTTCTGTTTATGTATCTCATCTTCTGTCTTCTTTAAACTTGACTTCAGGTCTGGTATCTCTAACTTTTCTAGTTTCTCCATCTAAAAAATATAACAGTTATTTAATCATAAACATTTCTTTAATTATATAACTGAACAATTACAATGAAGGTTATCAAAATTCAAATACTTACGGATTTCCTTATGATTTATCGATAAAAAAATGTGTTTTTAGAATGTTAGAAAACAAAATGATGTACTCAAATAATTAGGCGAATATTTCTAGATTTCATTCTATACAATACAACTGATTAAGAGTGAACTAAATGTTACCATGACTTAAGGGACTGTTGCATGCCTATCTCTCTGATGAAATGTACATATTCTTAGAACCCGCTCTTGGTTGCTTCAGCCCATCTATTCGCCCTGCCATTCGCTTGTCGCCAAAAAAACACATGACATACCTTCAAACACCTATAATATTTAATTTCTATTATATTTGATAGATACACATAGAGAGAAAAATATAGAGAAGTCATATTCAATATATACCACAACAAAAAAATAATATATAAGAATATATTATCATAGAATTGAATAAGACATAATTGATAAATATATATATAGAATATATAAATTTATTTAAGAAAAATAATATACTACCTTGATGTGAATAGAACATATAGAGGAAACAAAGAAGAGATATATTCAGAATTACAAACATATAAATATACATGAACATAGAATAATAATACCATCACACAAAGAAGTATAAATCACAACAACAATATGCATATATAATGAACAGAATACAAAACAATAGAATTAAAGAAGAAAAAATGTATGCCACCACATTAATACAACACTAAATAGAGTTAGGAATAAGATTTTTTTTTTCTATACATTGCGATATGTACAATAATGATAGATACACATAGACACTATAATAATCTATGATATAAATAAGTGGGTATATACATATTAAGATATAACTCAATATAGATCAGAGATAGGAAAATATCAAGACACATTAGAAGTTAGAGATGAAGGATATCAATATTAATCACACAGACCATAAATTATACAATAGACAACATCAAAAGAGGACAAAGATAGACACTTATGTTCAAATCATAGGTTCGCTGATATCAAAGATATCACTTTACATCTATATACATTGTGCACATAGAGATAAACAATTTGAACAAATTATACATTAGCAATAGATAACATCAAAGGACAAGAAAGATAGAAGTCACTGTCCCCTTGGGCAAGGCCAAAATTTTGCACCCAAGGGTTTAATTCAAAACAATCTTGATACAGGTCCACCAAACAACATTTCAAGTCAAATATCTAAGCTGTAGACTTTCTCCCATTCAGAAAACATTATGTTATTATTTTCTGTTTTTACTATATAAATGTACATATATGAGAATCAAACATGCCCCTGGGCAGGGCCATTTTTGACACCAGGGGAAAAAAATTTGAACAAATTTGGTGGAGGACCTATAGATGATATTATATAGCAAACATCAAAGCTTCTATGCCTTGTACCTTCAGACAAAAATATTTTTTTATTTTTTTACTATATGTACATAATGAAAATCAATGACCCCCGGGCAGAACCAATTTTGACCCCAGGCTATAATTTGAACAATCTTGGTAGAGGTTCACTTCGCAAAGTCTCATGCCATATATTTAACCTCTAGCCTTTGTCAATTCAGAGAAGAAGATTTTTCAAGTTTTTACTTTATACATATAAGGAAAACTATCGCCTCTGGGGCAGGGCAATTTTAACACAAGGGGCATAATTAAAACAACTTTAGTAGAGGACCCATAGATGATATTATATACCAAATATCAAAGCTCTAAGCCTTGTACCTTCAGACAAGAAGATTTTTAATTTTTTACTATATGTACATAGTGAAAATCAATGAACCCTGGGGGTGGGGCCAATTTTGACTCCAGGGCTATAATTTGTACAATCTTGCTAGAGGTTCACTACACAATGTTTCATGCAAAATATCTTCACTCTAGCCTTTGTAAATTTAGAGAAGATGATTTTTAAAGTTTTTACTATATACATATAAGGAAAACCTATGGCCCCCGGGGAGAGGCTAATAGCCTTCGATCTGAAGGTTACACTGTTCTAAAAATAGATTTTACCTTATCACCACTACATCACCTGTACTGACTTTCGGACAAGGGGATTAGGGAGTACACATTATACATGATCTTAATCAGCGTACATTTACTTTGTTTACATGCAATATTTTAAGATATTTAATACAATTGTAGAAAGCAAACAAGTTGGAAATGGAATTTAGTGTGAAAAGAAAAGGGACACTTACACATATTTTGTGAGAGACATAAAATAAAAAAACAAATGTATTTTATTGTCTATACGTAAACAGTGTATGTTAAATCACGGACTTCAATTGTCAATTTAGTTTAAATATACATTTGTACATGCAAGCATGCATGTACGTATACATTATTTCTGATAAAATAAATACTAGAATCGGCATTTTTTATTAGGTAAAATAGGAAAAATGCAGAGTTTTGCTTATTCTAAAATTATTAAAGAATTAAGATATTGATCATTAATCTAATACTCGTAGCACTTTAGTGGATAGATTCAGGACTTCTCCATATAAACAAAATTTTGTACGGTATATCTGGGACAGAAAGATACTCTTTCATTTTTAGTCCCAATTTCTTAAAATCATACCATATCATATCACCATTCCTAATTTTGATAAACAGTGAAACAAAAACAAATTGCCAAGCGCCGGCATTTTTCTCAAATTGACATGCAGGGAAAGTATTGCCCCGAAAGTTATTTCTTTTTCACCATATCATCTTTATTTTCCTGATGGTTTTAAACCATCTCAATCATGCTTTACGCATGTTTAACTCCAGGAACATCATTTCCATTGAGAGAAATGTGAATAAAAGTATTCGTAACCATTATGTTGTATAATCTACATGTAGATTAACCAGTTTCCTTGTCCGAAACTTATCGCTATGTGGCTATTTTTAGAACAGGTCTCTTATCAGTGACGTATACGATGCTTATCTCAGATCGTTCCCTATTTTGATAACTTTGGTAGAGTACCTATAAATAATATCATTTAACAAATATTAAAGCTCTATGCCTTGTACCTTCAGACAGTAAGATTTTTTGATTTTTTTCTATATGTATATATTGAAAATCAATGACCCCCAGCAGGGGGGGGGGATTTTGACCCCAGGGCTATAGTTTGAACAATCTTGCTAGAGGTTTACTGCACAATGTTTCATGCAAAATATCTAACCTCTAGCATTTGTCAATTGCTAGAAGAATTTTTTTTTAAAGTTTTTACTATATATATATATGGAAAACCAATGACCCCCTGGGCGGGGCCGATTTTGAACCCAGGGCTATAATTTGAACAATATGGGTAGAGGTCTACCAGACAATGCCATATGCAAAATATCTAAGCTCTAGGCCTTTCGAGTCTTTACAAGAAGGTATTTTAAAGTTTTACTATATCTACATATAGTGAAAATCAATGACCACCCTTGGCGGGGCCGATTTTGGCCCCAGGGCTATAATTTGAACAATCTTGGTAGAGGTCTACCAGACAATGCCTTATGCAAAATATCTAAGCTCTAGGCCTTTTGGGTCTTTACAAGAAGATTTTTTAAATTTATTCTTATAATTACTTTTGGTTGCCATGGCAACCACACTTCTGCATGGAATAAAATTGTTTGAACAACTTTGGAAGCCCTTCACCCAAGGATCAATCCTGCCAAGTTTAGTCTAAATTGGACCAGTGGTTTTTCACAAGAATATTTTTTAAGTTCACTATATAATCTATAGAACACACACACAAACACACCAAAACACACACAGGTGAATCGCTATATGCCACCGCATCACAGATGCTGCGGTGGCATAAAAACTTGTGTCAACAAAGACATACACGAGTATAAACCACCTACATTTTCTCGGAGAGGTTTAAGCTGCATCAGAGCATCATATTTCTCTTGACATTCATCAATCTCTTTTTCAGCTGTCTTTAACTTGCTGGGTACCATCCTTAACTGATCCTTTAACTGAAATATATAAATCATTGCTGGGTACCATCCCTAATTTTTTCCTTTAATTAAAATACATAAATGGTATAAATCATAGTTAAATCGATAATGAATATTTTTCAAGTTAATTTAACCTAACTCAAGATGGAAAAGAGTTTCAATATGATAAAGTTTGGGATATGCAGACAAATGGTCAAATATGATAACTCTATAATCATTTGATGAATTTACAGTATTCATTATTGTATGAATCAAGCAGCACTTCTTAAAGCAAATATGCAGGTGTTGGAGTTTAAGGTTAGCATAATGCCAAAATGATGTATTAAATTAAAAGACACGATTACATGATGTTGGTAGTTTACCCTCCAGATCAGGGCAGTATGCCACATTGAATTTATGAGTGCAGAACTGCTACATGTCTATTTCAAAATTGATACATAAAAGCTTATAGTGTTAACATACATTACATGATTACTATTAAACAGACTGAATGAATACAGAGCTACATTTAGGACTTAAGTTAAATGACTTTCCAGCTTCACGGCTGCAAGGATAACTCAGGTGCCTCTACCTACATTATTTCATTTTATTTGAGGAACAAAGTTTGTCCCCACCCTTCCCCAAAGTAGAAACATAAACCTTTCATAAACTATAAGGATATCCTCCTTACAGGAAAGAATTCAAGGTACTTCGCAGGATTCAAACTCACATTGATACGTGATTTATGATCTGATTATTTATATTTCTCAACCACTTAAAAATGTAGTTCAAAAGGGAATAATGCCATGTTTAGAAATATTGAGTTTTACAAGGCGTAAACATGGAAAAGGTGTACCTCTAGCACAAGTTCACGAACATCTTGTTGTGTATCAAAGCCTCTGTGACATAATGGACAACATGGATCATCTTTCTCTAAATCCTTCGCATATTTCATGTAGAAATGTTGTTCACCAACTAATGACCCATGTTGACTGTAAAATACAATTGTAAAATAAGATAAAAGATGGTTTAGTTTTGTAACTTTTGTTAAATTTTAAGTCACATAGTTACAAAATATTTGATCACTTTTCAGTTTTCTTCAAGAAAAAAAAACCCCTAGATGCCTCTTTAGATGTAAATAGATAGAACCACTAGCTTTTAATAAGCTTGCTAAATGACTTTCAAGATGAAAGAATCTGCTCAACATGCTCAATCAAATGACATTCAAATCCCATAGAAGTAAGAGATTTTCCTTCTTAAAGTCATTGACCTATTATACTATACATAAAGTTTTGTACATAAAATAACTAACACTCTTAATGTTCAAAATCATATCCAATATCACTGATGATAAACTAGTAACAAGAGGGCCATGATGGCCCTGTATCGCTCACCTGAATACGTTTGTACTTGAAGGCAACAAAGAATCAACATATTGAAAAATTACTTGGAAACGAATCTATATAATATTGTCCAAAATGTTCTTGACAAGATGTTACCACAAGAATTAAGTATGAAAAATGACTAAAACATTATGCAAACGATAGCACTGCACTTCTCAATGTGATCAATCTATAAAGTTTCAAGTTGATATCTTAATACTTTTTGAGTAATCCCCCGGACAAACAAAATTGGATGATTGACAATTGGGCAGACAATGTTATTTCAGGTTAATGAGTTATTTCTATTGTCCTTTTCTTTTCTTTATTTTTTTTGTGAGCTAACAAATGTTTATGGAATGAAGTCCTTTGTTCTAAGCTTTAACTTTTTCTCTGCGGAAGCCATCTTTTACGTCTTTTGTTTACTAAAGAACGCGGGAAAAATGATGCAACTCTGTGAAGCCACGTGACAAAAAATGTAAAAACGTGTTTTATATTTGTCAAGAACACTATTTTTTTACTTGCAATATTGCAATCGAATCCTAAATCTGTTACTGTACATTTTATTGTAAAATACTTTTAAAAAAAAGCATGCAAACTTGCATTTGAAAACGTTTTTTTCAGCTTCGAGACTATTTCAGGGTTGGACTAAAAAATGACCAAACCAGTTCTATATTAATACAGTAATGCAAAAAGCTATTGTATATGCACAAAGACCAACAAAGTTGCTAAGAAGTGGATGAAAGCAGTTATCTTACATACATTAACTATTACAAGTAATTTATATGATTTAGACCAGTCAATAGTATTTGAAAGCAGCATGTGACCATAGGACATCATAAGCAGTTTTAAGAAATTTATGAGCTATATATAAAAGTAGATTAATTTATGATCTGACCAATAAGTTTCTATAGTACCAAAATTCCCATTGCAATTTGTAAATACCAGATCTAATGTTGACCCTAGATCTGTTGTTGGCTCTCGTATTTTTTGTTCACATAAGAATGTTTCAGCCATAAAATGTTCAAGATTGATGTCATTTACTGAAATATCAATATTGAAGTCTCCCATGATAAGTAATGATTTACCGAAGTCAATGTGAGGAAAAAGCTCTTTTTCAAGATTTGAGATTAGTTTGTGAAGTGGACGCCCAGGGGATTTGTACACCATTACAATTTGCATTTGTTTATCCATATAATCTGCATGTATGGAAATCCACTCAAGGTCCTTTGTACTATAGCATTGAAATTTAGACACAATGACATCATCTTTTACATACAAGGCTAAACCATGAGGGGGTCTGAATCTCTGTGTCATTTGATTTTGATCATTTCTGAAAAGTTGAAATCCATTAATTGAATAATCTGAATTTTCATCTCTCTGGACTAATCTTGTTTCAGAAAACCCAATTACATGTGCTGACAAGATATTTTGGTCCACGGACACATCTTCAAAATGTTTGTGCAAAGATCTACAATTATTGTAGACTATTTTAAAATGTTCATCAGAGTTTACTGTATCAAGTGGAATATAACATAGTTGCAGCTTAGCTTCAGAACTAAGTCTCTGCATTTCTTCAACAACACGTTCATCCAAAGATATTGCCTGTTCATTTAAGTTCAATATTGAGAGATTTTTAATAGATCTCACCCTGCTTAATGCAACATAGTGGATATGTGGAATTTTTCTGACTTTCCGCTGTGACAAATCAATTACAACTTGATCAAGAGTAGTTCCCTGAGCTCTATGAACAGTTCTTCCTGCAGATGGTTGTAATGGAAACTGAATTCTATTTATTGTTTTCTGTCTGTATGGAAATGTTCGCTCTATGTCAAAGATTGGAGTCCAGCTACCATTAATGCAGTCATTATAAAAACCTCTAGCATGATATTTTTTTCGTCTTTCACTGCCAATTCGAGCATCGTCAAACTTTACCCAAATAATACTGGGTCTATTGGTTTCTGTTTGTTTATATTCTATATGTTTAACGACACATGATGCGCCATTTGTTAATCCATCTTCAGTATCTATATTAACAGTCAAGTCATAGATCATCCCAATTACAACAGTTACTTTGTACTGCAAACCCATTGTAGTATTAGTATCTGTGGGTATTCTTTGCAAAATTTCATTCTGTATATTTTCTGATATGTTTACTCCAACAATAGAGTCATGACAAGGGATTTCAACTTTCTGAGAATTTATGTTATTAATAATTTTCTCATTAAATGCATGCATAAAAGAATTTTCAGCAAATATGTGTGGTGCATTATGTGGATATGTTACAGAGTTTTGATCAATATGACATTGCTGGATTTGTTTTTTGTCATTGTCTGTCAATTTATTATGACGTAATCTATTCAACAATTCAGCAAATTCACTATCATCCTTTTGTCGCATAATCTCAGTCAACTCAAACATAGTGAAATAATCTTGCCACAAATTACAAGCTAGTGCAGCGGCATCGCTGGTTAGATCTTGAAATATCCAGGATCCTGCTACAGGCTTCAGTTGGTACAAGTCGCCTACAGCTATGATGCTTTTACCACCGAATGGTGTTCTTGTACCTGTCAGTTCTTGAAGTCTTTGATCAATGAACATAAGCAATGAATTGCTAACCATGGAGATTTCATCAATGATGACAACTGAAAGGTTTCTGTATTTTGACCTGAAAGTGTTGAGATTGTCACAATTCAAAGTTTGTTGCTTCTGTTTAAATTTTTGGTGGAAAGCTGTTGAAATAGTTGAACCATTAATATTATAGGCTGCTTTACCAGTGTATGCACACAACAGTATCCTTTTCTCATCTGCATTTTCACCTTCACTGAGATTCAAATACCTGTATAAAGTCTGATACAAAGCTTTGATTACAACACTTTTACCAACACCTGCCCCTCCAGTCAAAAAGGCATACACTGGTTTATCTTTTGTTTTTATCCAGTGAATTACATGGTTAAAAAAATGGCGTTGTTTTGAATTCAAACATCTTAGTAGCTGTCTGTACTGTTCATCTGAAAGTACATTTTGATTTAGATCAACTGTAACAGATGCACAACAGCTTCCTAGTTCAATACCAATATCATAATTTCTGTGCTCGACAGCTCTATCTGGATTAAAATAAACAAATGTATCAGATTCAACTGATTCCTCTGCAGCTGTCTCTGCTTCAACTTGTTGAGTTCCTGGGGCTATTTCATCAAATGTGTTATAGTCTTTTTCTGCAGCTTCTTGTGCAACTTGTAATTCCTCAACATGGTGTTCATATACTTTACATTTGATATCAATTTCATGTTTTCTTGCTTCATAATGCTGCTTGTAAGTTTCATAATTGGCAATTAAATCTGTCGTTTCATCTCTCCATGGTAGGAACAGCAGAAGCTTCTCTCGAAAATGATTGTGTTCATCTGATTTGGGATTAAATCTGACATAACGTATTACTTTCTGGTTTTGCCTCTTTCTAATTTTGATGCCATTTTTCATTATTAAGACAGTATCATTGAATACTTCTTGAGCAACAATGTTATCATCATCCTCATTACTGTTTTTGTCATTAGTAAGCATTTCATAATCATCTGGATAAACAACATCTAACTGTGACATGTAATCTGCAAGGCACCAATTTTCAAGACATTTTGGTCTTCTTGAATACCGTTTAATGGCATTATCAGCTACAATATCTGTTGAAGATTCTGGCAATTCTTCAAGAGCATCTTTTTGTTTAAGGAGTTGTATTCGCTGATTTGGTTGGGATGTATTGATAAATACAACATCTCTTGTACTCCTGGTCAAAGGCATTTGAAGAACTAAATAAACTGCTTCTTGTGCACTTACTTCAACACTATTTGAAAAAACATTTCCAATATGTCTCACCTGTCTTTTTATGTCTAGATTGCCATTTTTAGCCTCTTTCGCAGCAGCATGCAATAGTGTACTCATTCCTCTCTGTGATTTACTAATGTATGACACTATATACATTGCACAAGCATATGGATCCAATACAAACTGTATATCAATATTTGCTTCCCAAGCTCTTAAAATTGCTTTATTGTATAAATTTACACGAATATCTTTAGGTTCTCTCTTTAAAAAGACTTTGGATGCTTTCAAAGAACTTCTTATACATTTAATATAGTCCTCCTCACTCATTTCTGCAAAATCAGCCAGAAATTGTTCATATGACATATGTAATCCATCTTTTTCATTATTCATTTTCTTTTGTATCTTCTCATACATTTTCTTGTACTTATCAACATCTGATTCAAGTGGTTCTAGAACCATTGTCTCTCTTAATGGTGGAAGTGGGAATCCAAATCGACATATTTTATCTTCCTTTTTATGACATGTTCTCGAATGTTTGTGAATTTGTAGTTGAATTAAGTCTTGTAAATGTGGTTCATCTGAACAGCATTTCAAATATTTGTCAACAAATGCAATTATATCTTCATTGGAACTACTGTTATATTTAGGAGAATCTTCTATCCAAATAAGCATATGAATATGTGGAGAACCTCTCTGTTGAAATTCAACTCGAAAAAAATAGTCTGACATATGACCAAGGAAGTTATGAGAGCTCTTCAAAATAATTTTTATAAATTGTTGAACTCTTTGGTCAAAATAGCGAGAACAGGTTACAGGATCTTTCTGAATGAGCTTTATCTTATTTTCCCACGTCATATTACTAATTTGTTCCTCAGAATATTCAATATTATTGAGTTTTGATAACACTTTTAATAAATCTATCCATCTTGTATCTGCAGATGAAAGTGACATGAACCAAGTTGGCAAACCAAGCTGTCGTATCATTGCAAAAACATCTTTTTTCCTAGTTTCCAAATAAGCTGGAGAATTTCTTAGCTGCTTGAATAAATAATATCCTTCATTTTTTTTAACCATTTGTTCCATATAATCGGAATCCTTAGCTTGACCTGCTGTCAATTTTCCCCCTTCAAACTGACATCGTCTAACAGCCAGATTTACTTTATCATTTAGTTGTTTCATCTGTATCTTTTTCATTTTGAAGAATATATTTGGAACACTATTAGCAGCTCGCCTGTCACTACTTCTTAGTTCCCATTTAGCAATGTCACTATAGTTTACAGGAATTAATCTGCCTGCATTGTCAAGTCTCCTTTGTCCACAAAAAATTGATGGGAAACATAAAAATTCTGAATCTGTATCTTGATATATACTTAGTGGTCGCTGACCTTCTCCTGGAGCAAATGTAAATGTAGTGTTTCTATTCTCAATATCTGCATTATCAAGAAGAGTGTCAATGTTTCCAACATTTTCTTGTGCATTCTCTTCTGCATCTGAATCATATGTGTTAGTTTCTAAACATTCTGTGACTGCTTCAGCATTACAGGTTGGAGTAAAGTTTTGCTCTGCCGTGGTGGTATTTTCAGGTCTAGTTGTATCAAAAGATAAAAAATTTTGAACTGTCTCTTCACAGTCTTTCGTTACACGAGTAGCCCATTCTTCATCTATAGTAACTGCAGAGTGTTTATATAAGTCACTATTTCTTTTAAGCCAGTGTAATGCAACTAAAACATGAAATGGCCGTACATTCTCCGAGAAAACACAAGATTTGTATGACAACTTTTTTTTCAACTTAACAGCTACTGTTATGTTTTCATCAAATGGTCTAGGGAGTTCATTTACAACAGGCTGAATATCCACAGGAACATTGACAACATTTCCTTTCACAGAATACTGACGACCTCTTGGTAACTCTCTAATTTGCATAAAAGGTATGCGTAAAGAAATTAATCTTTCTTCCAACGGATACAAATTTAGCTCATTCGGTCTTTTAGGCCAGCTCATTCCATTTCTTACTGATAGCTTTGGCACTTTTTTGTTCAAAAGACCTGTTTTACATGTTAAACAAATCCATTCAAGTCCATCAACAGATAATGTCCCTGTCAAAAATTGCAAATCAATATCACCTTTAATAAACTTGACATTGCAAACACTTTGTCTAAACCAAGTCTGCAAACAACAAGTGCAGATAAACTGTGGTCCTAATTTTACACTTTCATGAAATACTGAGATGCAATTATCAATATCATTTCCATGCTTTTTTCGTTTTGCAGCAAAGTTTTCATTTTGTTGGAAATCTGGATCTTTTCGTTTTACAGCTTTTCTAGTCTTATCATTCAATAATTCTCTGTTTTTGTTTCTAACATTTGAACGTGAAATCTGTTTTCTAACCCTTTCTATTTCTGATACATAAGGGTTCATTCGAACATTTCTTTTTGACATTTTTTGTTTCTCTTTTTCCAGTATTCTGAATTCTACATCTTTTCTTTCATTTTGCTTAAAATCTCTTTCTTTCTTTTTATATATTGCATCAGATCTAGCTTTCCTTTTCAAAGCATACTGTATTTCATTTTCCTTTCTTTTGAATTCTGCAATAGCCCTTTTGTCTTGCTTAAATTCTCTTTCTTTCTTTTTATATATTGCATCAGATCTAGCTTTCCTTTTGGAAACATTCTGTATTTCTTTTTCCTTTCTTTTGAATTCTGCAATAGCCCTTTTGTCTTGCTTAAATTCTCTTTCTTTCTTTTTATATATTGCATCAGATCTAGCTTTCCTTTTGGAATTATTCTGTATTTCTTTTTCCTTTCTTTTAAATTCTGCAATAGCCCTTTTGTCTTGCTTAAATTCTCTTTCTTTCTTTTTATATATTGCATCAGATCTAGCTTTCCTTTTGGAATTATTCTGTATTTCTTTTTCCTTTCTTTTAAATTCTGCAATAGCCCTTTTGTCTTGCTTAAATTCTCTTTCAATCTTTAAATAATCTTTACTAACCCTCGCTTTTCTTTTTGAAGCAGTCTGCATTTCTTTCTCTTTTCTTTTAAACTCTGTATCTTTACGTCTGAACTGTCGGTATTTTCTAAAATATTCCCGTCTTTCTTGTTTTCTATTTTTTACACCAGTACATCTCCCTTGATTTGAAGAGCTATTGTCATGCCCGATATAACATGTCTGGTCTTCCATTTTACATAGATTTTTTTTATGTTGATCCTCAAAGTATTTTGTAATCAAATTTAAGTTGTTGGTATCTCTATTATCGAGGACTGTGAATTTCAATGGCAAAATTTCATACTGACTGGTTAAATCAATCCTCATACTTTCATACATTGCATACATGAAAGAAAGAAGGTCATCAAGGGTGCTAAATGAAATCAACAAAGATTTACCAGCAGGGCAACTCAACCCAAATTTTCCATGAGCATGTGAATCAAAAAACCAGAACATATCATCTTTGACAAAAACTGCAGAACATATTGCTCCAATCATCACTAAAACATGCTGTACATTTACCAAAGCTGTATATAACGACTGATATAAACTTGGTAATGAAGAATTACCAAACTGCTGAACAGCCACTCCTGATATGACATTTACCTTTTCAACATGTACAAATCTGGATAACACAAATACTTGATCAGGAATCTCATCAAAGCAAAGTAACCTATGTTTGAATTTACCAAGTTGTTTCAAATTGTACAAAACATCTTTATACAACTTATCACCAACATCAAGCACTTCATCTAAAATAACTTTTGTAGAGAAGTCTGAAAATTTTGCATAAATTAAAGCACACAAAGAATTTATAGTACACTGGCTTCCTCTAGAAAATACAGAATATCTGCTATCACCTTGATGGTAGGAACCAAGTATGAAAGATCTGCAAGTAAATGGAACTAATGTATCTTCGCATTTTCCTGTTAAATTCCAACTATCTCTTTTAAAAGATTTCACAGGATATGCCTTATATAGGAGAGCATTATCATTCACAGATCTAACTGTTTCAGAAATACTATGATCAAATTCAAAAGTACCAGTATTTTCAGGCTTTGTATTCTCATTTCCATCAAACAAAATTGTATGGCATTGTTCACTATTGAAAGTATCATTTTGCTGTGACATTACTGATTTGATATCAAATATGCTATGTTTTAAATCTGTCACTGAAAAAGTTGTAGATTCACTTTCATGTATTATTGATGGTAAAATCTGAGCTTGTGCCGATACGATGACTGGACTTTTTGCCGATGCGATGACCGGACTTTGTGCCGATACAATGACCGGACTTTTTGCCGATGCGATGACCGGACTTTGTGCCGATGCCATGATCGGACTTTGTGCTATAGACACGGCTGGATTTTGTGCAGGAACCATAACTTGACTTTGTGTTGTTGCGAATATCGAACTTTGTGAAGATGCAATGACAAAACATTGTGAAGATGTTGTTACAATACTTTCTGCTTGCCCTTGATTTTCACACCCTAATACAGCTCTACGTGCCTTTGCTCTTTTCCATGTCTTTTTACGTGGCATGATCTCTAATCTGGAAACAAAACAACATTTTTACCAGCTTTATTCATTTCAAAGTAGATATCCCTAAAAATATCATTTGTTAAAACAAAAACTTTGATTTTATTTAATTTGACATATCACAAAAAATTAAAGTCATCAGATTTGATTCAGAATTAAGTTTAGTTTAGACTTATTCAATTTAGCTCAATTGTGAAGCAAGTTATCACAACTTATTTATTCGAGTCCACTTCCTGGAACCAACCAGTACCGGTGTCATATGAGGAATCATGGCAGTCACTCATGTTATGTTCAAACCACGATACTGACGTTGCGAGGCAAACACCTGAACTAATAAACAACCTCTCCCCTTTTTCAATATTTGATAACATAAAAGTCATTTTATGGAAATATTAGTTAGAAAACAAATAGTTATGAAAAATGTTATGACACTGTTCTGATATAAAAAGATTAAAAAATGCTTTTTACCTTATATATTGGTTTCTTTCAGTCTGCTAGAAAAGACACTACCTCAACTTCTGAGCAATAACAATTAGCTTCTACTGTCTCAGTGTATCACTTCTTGTGAATACCTTTTCACATCAGTAAGCAATATCTTAAGACTAGCACACAATAGTTTATCACAATCCTGAATGTTATCAACTATGGTAATGATAAGCAGATATCTCCACATATGATTATTATAACCTTTCTCAATACACAATAATTTCTTTTGAGTCACTATCTCAACAAAGTATAAATCACTTTGAGTCAGTATATCTACACAATAATTCACTTTGAGTCACTATCTCAACACAGCATAATGATCAACAAGTCACATGTGAAACTGTTGATTTTTACAGTTTTCAGTTGTAATCTCTATTAAATTATCTTCCTAAACAGGTAAATTATTCAGTAATCTGTTGTTTGGAAAAGTATACCTGAATAATTAAATAAGACTTGTTATTCATGAAAAACAATGAAATATCAAAATTCAATTTTTGAAACTACGTAATAAAGAAAAACAACAATCGTGTAAAAGTCAGCAAGGCGGTTACTATCAAGATAGAGACCCTGTTCAACCCGTGGTGAAGTAAAAAGAACTGTAATTAACAGTTTAACATTTTGTATAAATAAACATAAATGCCTAAAGTCATCCATGCTTTATCTCAAAGAAACTATCTAAACATACTTTTGAACCATTGGGCAAACTGAAATATGATTTTACACAATTATACTAAATAATTTCAAATGCTTCAATTAATAACAGTATCATTTCCAAGAAGTAAAACTGAAATGGAAAGCACAATAATTCCAATAATCCCTCAACTTGATTGGGATTATGATTTTATCTAATACCTGTCCTGATATTGCTTCACCAGGCACTTACCCGGTACAGGCTGACATCTGCAATAGCCCTTAATATAGGTTACAACATCACACCATTATAACACATACTACATTTGATTTTAAAATAAACATGGCTATCAATTTATGGGTTTAGAACTTTACTATACGAGTACACACTTGCAAGCTAATCAATTATCTCATTCAAATCTCAATGACAAAAAAAAACAGGCAGACATCAAAGATAAATGTGTGGTCCCCTGAAACAGAAAAAATATAAATTTCAACAATCATCAGATGATTATACCTAATTAACAAGACCAAATAAGATGTAAGAGGCACTTTTATCAGACTTAGTAGAAATTCACTAGATTAGAACCAGAAGAAGTTTTTTCCTTCCAGTTGCCATAATAACGAAATGGAATTCTCTGAACAACTTTGATCAGACTTCATGCAAGAAAAATTCCTGCAAATATCAATCATATCTAGCCATGTGGTTTCAAAGGAGAAAATGAATGACAGGTGGTAAATGATCACAAAAGTACATTCTGAGCATTTCTGCATGTGAGCTGACAATCAATAGACAATGTCACCCATCAAATATATCAATTACATTCCTTGTGGTCAAAATGACAAAATATTTAAATATTTTTCCTAAATATGTCTATGTAACATTAAGTTGTCCACAAAGTAAAACTAATATGAACCCTAGTCATGATTTGAACAATAATTGTAACGATCTACTAAACGATGCTACAAACCATATACATGTATCTTAAAACCAGGCGACAAGAATTTTTTTTGAAGTTTTTCTAATATAAGTCTATGTAAAATCAAGCAAAACATGAAATGGGATTCAGCTAGGACACCTTTGAGGTTTTGTCACAAGTGTTGTTTTGTCCAAGTTTGAAGACAATCCATTTATTTATAACAAAGTTATAGCCAATTATACATTTGTATGTCTATGTAAAATCAAATGACATCTGGGACAGGGCCAATCTTTACCCTGGGATCATAACTTGAACAACCTCAGTAGAGGTCCACTAGAAAATGCTACGAGCAAAGTGTTTAAGCTCTAGACTTTGTGGTTTCTGTCAAAAAGATTTTTAAGTTTTTCCTATATAATTCTATATAAATCAACTGACCCCTGGGGCGGGGCCAATATTGACCCTAGGGCTATACATTGAAAAATCTTGGTCAAGTTCTGCTAGAGGATGCTACACACTAAATATCTAAGCTCTAGACATTGTGCTTTCTGACAAGAAGATTCTTTAAGATTTTCCTATATAAGTCTATGTGAAATAAATGGACCACTTGGGCGTGGGCCAATATGGACCCTAGAGCAATAATTTGAACAATCTTGGTAAAGGTCTGCTACGGGATGCTACACACTAAATATCTAAGCTCTAAACCTTGTGATTTCCGACAAGAAGATTTTTTTATGTTTTTCCTCTATAAAACAAGTGACCCTGGGGCGGGGCCAATAATGACCCTAAGGCTATACATTGAACAATCTTGGTAGGGTTCTGCTAGAGGATGCTACACACCAAATATCTAATCTCTATACTTTGTGGTTTCTAACAAGAAGATTTTTTGAGCATATGTTCAGGTGAGCTAAAAATAATGATTTCTCCCCCCCCCCCCCCCGACAGGGCCAATTTTAACCCAAGGGCTTTTATTTGATCAATCTTGGTAGACACCCATAAGAAGATGTTTCATGCTAAACATCTAAGCTCTAGCTCATTGGGTTTTTTAAAAGAAGATTTTATAAGATTTTTTAAGTTTACTATACACATATAGTTTAAAAACAATGACACCCCTGGGGCGGGGCCAGTTTTGACCCCAGGGCTTTAATTTACATAAACTTTGTAGACACTTACTAGAAGATGTTTCATGCTTAATATCTAAACTCGAGCTATTTGGGTTTTTTCAAAGAAGATTATTTAAGTTTTTGCTATACACATATAAGGAAAATCAATGACCCGGGCAGGGCCAATTTTGATCCCAGGGCTTTTATCTGAACAAACTTTGTAGACACTTACTAGAAGATGTTTCATGCTTAATATCTAAACTCTAGCTATTTGGGTTTTTTTCAAAGAAGATTTTTAAGTTTTTGCTATATACATATAAGGAAAATCAATGACCCCCTGGGGAGGGGCCAATTTTGACCCCAGGGCTTTTATTTGAACAAACTTGGTAGACACGCATAAGAACATGTTTCATGCTAAATATCTTAGCTCTAGCTCTTTGGGTTCTTTAAAAGAAATTTGTTTAAGTTTTTTACTATATGAATATAGGGAAAATCAATGACCCCCTGGAGCGGGGCCAATTTTGACCCCAGGGCTTTTATTTGAACAAACTTGGTAGACCCTCATTAGAACATGTTTCATGTCAAATATCTAAGCTCTAGCTCTTTAAGTTCTTTAAAAGAAGATTTTTTAAGTTTTCACTATATGCATATAGGGAAAATCAATGACCCACTCAGGGCGGGGCAAATTTTGACCCCAGGGCTTTCATTTGAACAAACTTGGTAGACACTCATTAGAAGATGTTTCATGCTTAATATCTCAGCTCTAGCTCTTTGGGTTCTTTAAAGGAAGATTTTTTAAAGTTTTTACTATATGCATATAGGGAAAATCAATGACCCCCTGGGGCGGGGCCAATTTTGACCCCAGGGCTTTTATTTGAACAATCTTGGTAGACACTCACTAGAAGATGTTTCATGCCAAAGATCTAAGCTCTAGCTCTTTGGGTTTTTTACAAGAAGATGTTTAAAGTTTTTTCTTTTGGTTGCCATGGCAACCAGAGTTCTACATGGAATGGAATTCTTTGAACAACTTTGTTAAGGCTTCACTCAAGGAACATCCCTGTGAAGTTTCATTATGATCTGCCTTATGGTTTCAGAGGAGATGTCGTTTGAAAAGTGTGAACGGACGACGGACGACGGACGACGGACGACGTACGACGGACGACGGACGAAGAGTGATCCTAATAGCTCACCCTGAGCATATGCTCAGGTGAGCTAATAAAAGTAGCTATAAAACAGGTACATCTCTTACACCAATGGATGCTGATGAACAAAAATTTGAAAATAACGATAAGAAAAATCAAATCTTAGCATAATAGATCTTAATATCAACAGTAGAGGTCCATATAAGGTACATATCAAATATCTTAGATATCAACAACACATGACAATGCTCTTGGAGAAGAGTGACAAGAAGGATACAAGGGCAAAACCGGCATTTATATCAATTTAAACATCCTCCGCCGAATGTGTTTGCTCATTGGAAGAATGTATATGTAGTAGAGCAGAATAATTCCATTTTAAGAGGTCTTTTGGTAATGAAAACTGATGGCTATAGTGATTACAGATTTGAAACCTATGTGAATACTGCAGGGTAGGTTATCATTCTTGTGTGCTACATCCCTCCTCAGTAAAATCTATCCACCTATGAAGTTTCAAGTCGATACCTCAAATACTTTTTGAGAAAAAAATTGAATTGAATAATTATGTATGAAAAATAACAAAGGGCAATAACTTAAAAATTATAAAAGGTAGAGTTATCATTCTTGTGCATTGCACACCTCCTGAGTTAGATCTATGCACCTATGAAGTTTCATAATGATATCTCAAATGCCTTTTGAGTTATGCTCTGGACAAAAATTAATTTTGAAAAATAAAAAAGGCAATAACTAAACAATTATGCAGGGTAGAGTTATTGTTCTTGTGCACTGCACTCCTCCTCAATGAGATCCATCCACCTATGAAAAAGAACAAAGGACAATAACTCATAAATTGTACTGGGAAGAGCTATCATTCTTGTGCACAGCATTCCTCCTCAATAAGATCTATCCACCTATGACATTTCATGTTGACATCTCAAACACTTTGAGTTATGCTCTACTCAAGTGAAAAATTAGGTATGAAAAATAACAAAGGGCAATAACTCAAAAATTATGAAAGGTAAAGTTATCATTCTTGTGCACTGCACACCTCCTGGGTGAGATCTATGCACCTATGAAGTTTCATTTTGATATCTCAAAGGCTTTTTGACATATGCTGTGGACAAAAACTAATTTTGAAAAATAACAAAGGGCAATAACTCAAAAATTATGCAGGGTAGAGTCATCATTCTTGTGCACTGCACTTCTCCTCAATGAGATCCATCCACCTATGAAGTTTCAAGTTGATACCTCAAAATACTTTTTGAGATAAGCTCTGGACAAAATAGCATGAAAAAGAACAAAGGGCAATAACTCAAAAATTGTATAGGGAAGAGTTATCATTCTTGCGCACAACATTCCTCCTCAATAAGATCTATCCACCTATGACATTTCATGTTGATATCTCAAACACTTTTTGAGTTATGCTCCACTCAGGTGAAAAATTAAGTATGAAAAATAACAAAGGGCAATAACTCAAAAATTATGAAAGGTAAAGTTATCATTCTTGTGCACTGCATACCTCCTGAGTGAGATCTATGCACCTATGAAGTTTCATGTTGATATCTCATAGGCTTTTGGAGTTTTGCTCTGGACAAAAATCAATTTTGAAAAATAACAAAGGGCAATAACTCAAAAATTATGCAGGGTAGAGTTATCATTCTTGTGCACTGCACTCCTCCTCAATGAGGTCTATCCACCTATGAAGTTTCAAGTTGATAACTCAAATACTTTTAGAGATATGCTCCGGACAAAAATGTTGGACGGACGGACAGAAGGAGACTATTACAATATCCCCCGCCGCCTTTTCGGCGGGGGATAACAAGCACAAAAATGCAATCCATTTATATGTATATTGTTTTTTTTTACATAAAAAGAGTTGTCTTGTAGATTCCGTGGTAAATTTTCTAACTTACTCTCTGACTTTCTCCATTCTTTCCTGAATGGTTGAGAGTCCTTCATCAAAATTCTGACTTCCACACACATTGTATACCCTTTCTTCAAGTCCTACATATGTCATGACAATATTTATTATATACCCACTGATCATAAATAAATGAAATCGTTTATGTCACCTGGTTGTTGTTATCATCAGTATATCCCAAAAATTTTGTATGATCCATATTCTAAGTATAGCAACATGTTACTTAAATCAGTTTATAGTAATGTGTTGATGCATTAATATATACTTATAAATTTCTTGCAAATTAATAGTACATGTAATAGTATAACCTGTAACATGCTGGCATCAAGTAATTCAATCCATGCAACCAATGTAGATCTGTAATAATCTTACACCGGCTGCCGGTATAGACCTGAACATCTAGCTTGAGAGCTACTGTTTATAGCGTAAATTAGGCTTTGCCGAGTTTCCACTAAATAGTTACCTGGAAGCTAGATATTTCCCTCTGTAACAACAGCTGGTGTTAAGATTTTTTTTCTTGCACCCCAGTACATAAAAATCATATTTCGAAAAGAAATAACAAAACTGATGTTATAAATTAACACTTTTTACTTACAGTACCATTTGAATTTACAACTTCATTCATAACAGCAGAATTTTTACTACAAATACCTTTAAGTTCTGCCTCCTTCTTTTTCAGTTGTTCCCTGTAAAACATGACGTAAATAAAGTTTTATATCCTGATACATTCTTGAAGTGAAATTACCTTTAATTGAAAGGCAACATATAACTTGAACTTGCATTGCGAGTAAAAACAACATCAAGATTGATTATGTTCACTAAACTAAATTTAATCATGCACAATTTTTTATTGAAACTTAAAAACAAGAATTATAGAATTAAATGTCTCAAACAAATAAGGAATTGCAGAAGATACCTTAGAATACATGTATGACTAACTTACATGCCCATTTTTCTCTCTGTCTCCATCTTTGACATTGTATTTTTTATCTGGTTCATCTTACCTGAACATTTCTTTACATCCTCATTTTGATTGCTGTAAAAAATATTTCTTATTTAGAAATGTAGATAATACTCTGTTCTAAGATTGAGCCAATCAAAACAGCCATTTTTATAATTGTAATTTAATTCATTTTTATAATTAAAGATTATAATTCATAATATGACAGTTAATTAAACTTTAATATTATTTTCTATTTCATATGTCTTTAACTGGTTATCTACTTTTCAAAATGGACTTGTCAATCTTTCTATTTTGGATTGGTCCATTTATATTTTTGGGGTCATTAATACTAAAATTTCTAGTCAGTCAGCAGTCTTGAACCTGGTCAGACTGCACAGATGTGCATGCCAGCCTGGCTCTATACTGGTGAAAAGGAGTAATCACTTTTGATTCTAGTAGACTTTAAGGATTCAACAATATGACATATCAATAACTGTAAGGAAACAGTATAATATAAATTATTTTAATATTAAAATAATTTCATTTATTTTATTAAGAAAACATCGTCTGCTGTAAATATTAGTCGTCTGCTATACTGCCCCGTCAGCTTAATAAATCGTCTGCTATATTTTGTTGATAAACAATTTATCTGGTTACGCTCGATAGTTTTCTTAGTCAAGCATAACGTGTACCCGGTATGGTATATATAAGGCAAAACCCGTGCAGAAACTCACTCTTTACTTGTCTGCAGTACAGATTGACTGGCTAAAAAGAATTTATCTGCTATCTACACTGTCAAGTTATGCCACGTGGCCGCGGATGTGTACGTTCACAAAGAATGTTACGGAACAACACCGCCAGGCAGCCCGAGCCAGCAAGGAGCGCAGCAAGGAGCCAACAACCTTCCAACAGAGGGAGGAAACGAACGGCCCGTTGGAAGATTTTGTTGACGAGAGGGGGCCGCAAACGAACGCTGGTCAGTCGAACGTAGTTGATTTTGAGCAGATAATAAGGGCTTCGACAAAATTTGACCGATAATGTTGGTTCTGCTGCAAATAATGTTTGGGGTGTGGCAATATGTTACAATCTGTGGGTTTACATAGTTCTACTGCGAAACATTCCAACGATATTATAAATGTTGTGCCTGGAATACGTTTAGCCAATAATGATTTAGCGGCGCACATGCCAACATCTCTTAAACAAAAAATTTGTTGAGGTGAATATGTAAATTTGATGTTATTATTAAAAGGGGCAGTCAAGCTTTCAGAATTTTGTAAAAGGACAGTCTTTAAGTTAGACAGTGAAGGTCACATAGAATCCTCTCAAAAAGAATGTAAAGAGCAGATCAATTGCATTGAGAAATGGACAAACGCATTTATTATATATGTGTCCATTTATTTGTCATCACACGCTGACAAAATCTATGAAATTTTGCATTATATGTTTAATATCAGAGATTGTGCCTCGCGCCAGGGTGGTCTTTCATGGAGGACTTACGACAAGCAATTTCGTCTAAGACAGGCTATTGCTCCTCAATCATGGTCGAAAATAAACAATGAGTTATGGTGGCGCTGTGTACAAGTCAGACCAGTTTTACATGACCAATCTAATCCTTATAGGTTTACTTGTAATGACTTTAATGCGGGAAAATGTTCTTGGCCGAAATGCCGTTTTTCCCATGTTTGTGCCACGTGTTTTGCTCCCCACCCAGCAATCAACTGTCAAACTTCAAATTCTTCAAACAAACAAAGCTTGACCAGCGGTGAATCTCAGTCGTCATTTCAAAACTTTCGGGGCAGACATTTTCAGCCACAATGGGCTAAAAGTGGACGGGGCTATTTCTAAAAGTAAAATAAATAAAATTCTGGTAATTGCATTTTCTGACACTAATGTGAACTCATTCACTTTGGCAAAATCTCCTATAAACGTGGAGGCTTTAAAGTTCTATTTAAAAGGATATATTGGGAAAGAAGCAAAATTCTTATTAGACGGTTTTATCAATGACTTTCCAATTCAACACACAGGGCCACGGGCCACGTGTTGCACGTGAGTCAAAAAATTTACGGTCATCTCTATTAACCCTTTACCTCATATATACGCGAAACAACACACTTTCTACCCCCCCCCCTCCTCTTTTAGACCTCAAATAGTGAAAAAAATGTCCTACTTGTCAAGAAAATTTTGGACTTGTGAGAGGCTAAAAATGGCCCCAGGTCGATCATAAGGTAACGTGTAACCAATGCTGAAAAGCCTTTGACTTTATCTCAATCCCTTGAGAAGTTGCAGCACTTTGAAATAAATTTTGATGGAAAAAATCAAGGCAAAATAGTGATTTTTGGCAATTTTGGGGACGCCTTCTTTTTCCCCAGGAAAAACAGGAAATTTTAAGATTTGAGCAGGGTTTGGTTTAAAAATTTTAAGGGAAATTTGGGGTTCCAGTCAAACTTTTTAAAAAAATGTCCCAAAGGGTTTGTTTAGTTTGAAGCTTTTTTCAAAATTTTCATTGCATTTTAAATTTTTAAAACGGGAGGTTTTTAAAATTGAAAACGGCCCTTTTTTTTCCCCAATTTTTGCTTTTAGGGAAAAGGGGTTTAAAGGGGCCTGTTTTAATTTAAAAGGGGGAAAATTTAAGGGGAAAGGAGAGAAATGCGGAAGATTTTGCCCCCTTTTGGGCCGAACCCCTTTTTCCAAAATTTTTAAATTGTGCCCCGATCGGTTTGTCCCCAAAAAAAATTTCCCCGGGAAATTCGGGGATGATCCATTCCATTTTAAACATATCCCTCCCGTAAATCTATTAAAGACTTTATTGATCCAAGTTTTATGTTCAGTCCAATACACAAGTTTTGATGAAGCAGTTAAAATTGAATTCAAGAATTAGGTCAACATTGCAAATTGTTTAAATCAGCTATCAAGAGCGCCTACCACTTAATACCCAATATCCCGGAAGGATTTTGAGGGACTTGTTTTTTTTTTTGATAATAAATATTATTTTGACAAAGCGCTCCCTTTCGGTGCTTCAGTGAGCTGTATTACTTTTGAAAGATTTTCAAGATTTTTAAAATATAGTGTTAAATCGAAATTTACGTCAGCTAAATTGATACATTTATTTAGATGAATTTTTTGGGGGTGACAAGACATCAGAATCATGCAGTCAGGCATTAAAAAATCTTTCAAAACACAATGACAGAGCTTGGAGTGTCTTTTAGCATCGGAGAAAACAGAAGGCCCGACTAAAGGTATTGGTCTTTTTAACGTTTAGAGCTTGACACAAACCAAATGACAACCAGAATCCTGTCAGAAAAAATAGAGGAGATCAAAGTAAAAATTATTGATGTGTGATCACACTCTAAATCAACTCTTAAAAAGATACAATCTTTAATTGGTTCGCTCCATTTTTGTTGTAGAGCTATTGTTATGGGTCGCCCTTTCATTAGACGTTTAATTAATTCAATTTGAGGCTGACAAAGTTGTATCACCTCGTAAGATTAAAGAAAAGAGGGTTCGACGGTATTTTGAACATATGGCTTTTTATTTTTAAAAAAATATAAATGGCGTGTCTGTGTTTTCATGACAAATTTTGGGTTTCAAAAAGAAGATGTAGAATTGTTTTCGGACAGCGCCGGTGGTGACAATTGTGGTTTCGGAATTTACTTTCAAGTTCATTGGTGCCAAGGGAAATGGCCAGAAGATTGGCACTCACACGGTCTAACAGTAATGTGCCTTGAAAGACTTCTTGTATTGCATTGTAGGAAACTTAATATTTTATTGAAAGCAGTTCATGTCCCAGGTCGTTATAATGTCATTTGTGATGCATTGTCACGTTTTCAGTTGAAAAAATTCAGAGAATTAGCTCCGGAAGCAGATCAGCTACCTCACCCAGTCCCAGAATTCCTTTGGAGCGTCTTCGATTTAGAGCTCGAACATTGTTACAAATTGGATTAGCGCCAAATACTAGATCAACATACAATACAGCGTTGATTGCTTTTCGGAATTTCTATTCAGAATATATAATCTTTGTTCATTACAATGGGGCCAAAATTTCAATTCAGGGGAATATTGTTTCTTTTTTTATTTTGTATTGATTTTGAAGAGGAATGGCCCTTCCAAAAAAAAACTAATAACCACAATTATGTTGCCGGGCTTAATTATTTTTCACAATAAAATTTTCTAGAATTTTATGATATATCAAAAATTATTTCATAGGTTAGCAAAACTGCTTGAAGGTTGCAAAAAATCTCGTAAATCACATGATAATCGGGCGCCTCCAATAAACAAAAAACAGGTTTTTGAAATTTTATGTGGGCCATGTTACCATTATGTTGCTAACTAATGCTTACCGAGACTAGATTAATTTTACCACATTATTTATATTCCGCATATTTTTTGGCCTTTTATTTCGCATTATAAGTGAGCCCCGGTTTTTTCCAAAAATTTCAGGGAAAATAGGGCTTACTATAGAATTCGACATATCAATTATTTGATAAGCAAGGTGCTTATTTTTCCGTTTAATCAAAAAAAAAATTTTAAAAAAATGTATTTTCCGGGGTATCTAAAAATTGGGCCCAAAAAAAGAGGGGGCAATTTATTTTTCCAGTTTAAAAGCCTTATCTTTAAATTTTTTTTCTGTTTCAGCCTAAAACACACGTGCCCCCCTTTTAAATTTATAACGATTTGTTTTTCCAGTTACGAAAAACTCAATTTTCCCAAAGGGTTTTTTTTTTTTTTTCAAAAAAGCGTTTTTAAAAGGGCCCCCTTGTTTATTTGGATGTTGTTTTCAAAAAAATTTATAGGGTTTTAAAAATTTGGGAGAAACTTTTCTTTATTTTCGCCATTTTAAAGGGGGTTCCTGCAAAGCTATAAGAAAAGCAATTTACATGTAGATGGAATAGCGATTGTTACAAATTGTACATAACATGTAGATAAAAAATAACCTTTCATAAGCAATTTTGAGCAGTTTGTGCCATTATATCTTCAGTAGTATTTTGATTTCACGCCATGTTTATTCTATATTCAGACATCTAGGTCATCGGGGACTTGATCCCGTACTGGACAGGCAATCATGCAATACAAACTGGGAAGAGAAACTTGAGACTACCAGGGCAAACAATTGCATGGCTAGGGGTTCAAGGTCTACGATGGTCCACACTACGATGGGAAATTGAAGCTAAGGTTCTCCTATCACCTGCTCGTTGTTAATACTTATTCATTTAGGTGGTAATAATTTAGTTCACTCTCATGCCTATGATATTAAAGGGACAATACAGGAGGACTTCAAGTGTCGTACCTTCACGATGCATTTCTGTCCGCTTGCATTATTTGGATTGACATTTTACCCAGAAGAGTGTGGGGGAAATTTAATATCAAGTCTATGAATCTTAAACGTAAAAGGGTTAATCATTCAGGTCGCCACATAGTTAGTTCCTTAAGTAAGTTTGATATTGTCAAGCCAGATATTGACATTGAAACGGCGTTTTATCGTGAGGATGGTGTCCACTTAAATTTAGTTGGCCTAGAGTTCTATCTGGACTATTTAAGAGATGCTATGCTAAAAAATTTATAATGGAATTTTTGGGTGATAAATTTGTTGAATTTATTGTGGCGGAAAAAATTCTGTCGATTGAGGGATAGGCAGGCCTGGCAAATTAATGTATTTGCAATTCATGTTTTTCAAATATCTTAGCCGGTTAGGGTCACCTTGTTTTTGGGCTGGTCTAATCGCCTAAAGATAGGAACCTTGACCTTGTAGGTTAAATTTTAAATGCTCACCCGGTACTTCCTAATTATTATACGGTCTACCAGTAATTGTGTTGACTCGGTATTAGTATTAGTACTTGGCAATTCCTACCTAGCCTTGCTTTCTTGCCTTGCATTGCCTTGCCTTGCATTGTACAGAGTTTGCTGTCAGAAATACCACTTTGCTGTTTACATTTACATTAACTCGAATTGTGGAACCATTCATTTCTTGGTCTAATCATTGGTGAGTGGTTTTATTGTTCGTCATTAATGGTAACGAAGCTTGCGGTAGTATGTTACCAGTGGTATATACATGTAGGTTACCGTTAATATTAGAAGTACAAAAACAATAGAAATATTAAAAATGGGAAATAATTACGCAAAATTTTTTTTTTGTGACATTGTTGTTTCAGTTTTTGTTTAGTTTTGTACAGTTTGACAAAAAAAACTGCCTCCCTTTGGTTTGTTCCCGGGATTTTCCTTTACAAGGGCTAGACATTTGGGCAAATCTGCTTTTCTCGAAGCGGACAGCTTTTCCAGCCCAATTTGTTTTTTTTTTTAAAATTCCCAAAAGGGTTTTATTTTTTTGTGTGTATTGATTTTAAGTTCTTTTTTGACTTTTATATAAAATTTTTAGTAAAATTTTTTTTTGGGTTTTTCGTTTCATTTTTTGGGAAAATTCAAATAAAAAACCTAAATAAAACTTCCAGTTTACTTTTGGGGGGTTTTTTTCTTGGGTTTCATGACCTTTAACCCGAAAGCTTGACCCGTGGTTTTCCCCATGCTTTTTCCTTTTCCCAAAATATTCCCGTTCCCTTAAAAACTGTAATAATTTTTGTATAAAATACTGTCTTAAAATAATTCTACAAAAAGTAACACCTTGTTATTTATACTTTCATTTTATAATTTCATAATAAATATTCTATAGCAATTTGCATATAAATATTATTTGTTTTCCAATCCATATAAACTGTGACATATAAATGAAACATGTTGGCATTTTTTCTGAAATCAACAAGAGCTGTTGTTAGAACAATATGCACAACTATTCTCTTTGCAAGTGCCTGGATAATGTAGAATTTTCTTGTTCAAAAAGGCCTATAATTTTCTCAAAATCCATATTAGAGAGATGGGTCTTCTTATTTAGCTTTCAAATTAGTGGGTGAAATTGGGTCAATGGGTCAACCCATTCCCTTCAGTAGTTTTGGAGATACACCAATACTTAACTTAAGTGTGATGCCAACAAAGTAAAATAGCTGTTGCTATTCTTTCAACAGTCAAGCTAAAAATGTTTTCAATTACATTTCCAATATTACACTTTTACAATAATGGTGAGTGACTTACAATATTCTAATATTTTCCTCTTTGGAAGCTTTATCTTTCTTCAGAATGTCAAGTTCAGCCTGGGCACTAGACTGTAAATGAAGTCTGTTCTTGCATTATAGTAAAATAATACACAGTTTATCGTTTAAATACTTTATTATTATATCACCTTCGTATTTATATTCCTATGCATCTGAACTCGAACAGTGCATTATTTTACATTCTAACACAACCCGCATTTTTCCCTATTGAACATAGAAGAACAGAAAGTGTGTGTTATTATGCAACAGATGCACAGTTTGACGTTCTATATTTAGACATGTGACGTAATCATTATACACATGACTTAACCACTAAAAATCCGACGTGCTGAAAATGAGTTCGGAAATAAATCAGGCGCAATTTGCTTAACTATCAAGTACCGCAACATTTATTTGTTAATGTCGTGTTAGAATCGAAATAATATATCCAAATCAGTGATTTTATTGCTTGATAACATCACTGTTTGTCGTTCGGATGCGCATCATTACATCACTCAGGCTACGTCCTCGCATCCAAACTCCAAACAGTGATGTAATTGAGCAATAAAATCACTGTTTGGGATATATTATTTCTTAAACAAGGCACTAAAAACTGATATCTATTTCTCAATTAGATTTCCATGTTACCAACAATAAAAAAAAAATGTTGAATTAATACTCTGTTTTCATACTTCTGTTCACTTTCAAGTACATAAATAAAGCAGTTATACATGCTCATGTTATGTTCAACTTTCAGGGCTCCACCTTAATTGTTAGAGCTGCGATTTGCCCTAAATCTAATGGTGCAGCATAAAAATGCCTTTCTGGAGCATAAGAACAGAATATAATTCATCACCTTAGTGCAGTTTCGGAATAAGTTCTTCTAAATTTAATATGAGTAAATGGATTCAATTATCACTGAAAATAACTAAAATGAGATTTTTTGCTTAGTAGATTTATCAACCTTTTCTGAACACATTCGTGACTTAATTTTGGAAGCAGTTAGACCAAAAAATGTGTTTTTAAACGTTTTAAAACGGTACCTGTACCATTTTTATCTGCTATTCGCGTAACCACGTTTTAAAACGGTACCTGTACCATTTTTATCTGCTATTCGCGTAACCAGTCAATTATCGATAACGCTCCGCCCCCTGTTGAGGCATCAATGAGGGAAATCGGTAGTTCCATATATCCTTGAATTACCGGTCCATACTGGTCCATACTACTCGTAATTCATGTATCGTACAAATACCGTACATCTTTTATGAATATCGTCTACCTTTTATTTATCCTTTTTTATAAAATAAGAAATTGTCGGCCAATGTACATAAATAATTAAGCATAGCAGCAAATCGCATGACCATGGGGTTGATTAAAAATATAGTTGCTAAAATATCCATAATGTGTGAAAATAATTTGTCGGTCCCGTTAATCTGATAGATGATATTACATAGAGTTTATGGACTTTTGTGCGGATTCAAGGGCTTGCTTTACATTCAACCTCGTTTTCTAACAATGTCAAGTAAAACAACAACAACAAGCAATTATCATAGTATTGCAAGCAATCCATAAGTCCCCTACCGGTTAGAACCCCAGCAGCATTCTGATGGGCCATTGGCCATTCAATTTTACCAGTGGATGAATGACATGAATAAACTTAAATCTTTTGAGTATTAAGTTTGTCTATATCACAGTAATGTGTTAAGTTTCCCTGCCTAGTAAGGAAATTCTGTTTATACAACCTTGTCATATTATTATGATGTGGGATTTTAAAGTAAATCCTATAAGGAATGAAGAAGTTAGAGTGAAAAATACCAATTTCTCGAAAAAAATCTAAGTTCAAGGGGGAGATAATTCGGAAAATAGTCTTCCTAGAGTACAATGTATTTAACCTTCTCAAAAATGTTGAGTGATAATAAGAAACATATATATGAAGTTTGAAGTAGATACATTAGGAAATAAAGAAGTTATTTAAAAAGGACAACATTTTTTTTCATAAAAATTCTAAGTTCAAGGGAGGTAATACTGATAATTTTTGTGCAAGAGTTGTAAACCTTGTCACATATGATGTGGTTGATGGCCAGAAACTTATATTTAAAGTTTGAAGTAAACACCATAAGAAATAAAGAACTTATAGTGAAAAGGCTGAAAATCTTGAAATTCAGGCTATTTGTTGCCATAGCAACCAGAATTTTCAACATAGGAAGAAAAGAAAAAGCTGTGCATAATCTCCAGACTGCCATCTACCCATATTTCAAGTTTCATAAAAGTATTTTCAGTACTTTTTGAGTTATCACTGGATCCAGTTTATGTGTTAAATTTGCCATATTTTCGGACTATTTGTTGCCATAGCAACCAGAATTTTCAACATAGGAAGAAAAAAAAAAGACGTGCATAATGTCCATACTGCCATCTATCCATATATCAAGTTTCTTAAAAATATTTTCAGTACTTTTTGCCTTATCGCGGGATCCATTTTTGTGGACTGACGGACTGACAGACGGACGTTCTCACAGGACAGTAATTATGTGGCTACTCTATTGTTCTCTCTATTGTTCCTTTTAGCCACACAAAAGAAAATAGCCACATAACAGCATTACGGAATGAATGACATCAAAGAGAAAGAACAGTTACCTATTGTCCCTCTAGCCACATAATTACTGTCCTGTGAGTGCGGACAGACAGACGGACGGACAGACAGACGGACGGAGGGTAAACCTAAAGTCCCCTCCGGTTAAACCGGTAGGGGACTAAAAACAGACAACATTTTTTATGTCAACGCCTATATGACTTGTGGTAAGGTGTCCCTGACAAATTTCTAAACCATTTTAGATTGTTTAAGGATGATTATTTCTCTATGAATTAATAAAAAAAGATATTAATATATATTATCAGTGAATGCTTTGAATAAATTGTTCGCCAGTAAATCGAACACAGTACTAATAAACCTGGGACAAAGTATGGAATTTATTGTATATCCCAGTAGAAACTGGATCTCTATGCCGTGCATAGATGATTTCCATGATAATAGAAGTCAAGAAGGTCAGATCATAATGATCGAGTGATACCTTTTATTTCTATTAAAATATGTGAAGCATTTATATCAATTTGGAGGAAAAAATATATAATATCCCGTTCTTATTTGTACATCTACCGTGGACTTTAAAAGACTGTCAGAAGCTCAGTTTTTTGTTATTTTCATTTATATTTTAACGAAATTTCATACATGAATACACAGACAGAGTGACACTGGTATAATATAATAACAATGCTGATGATAATAATAATAAACTTCAAAAGTGAAACAATTAAATACCCCGCTAGCTGTGCGCAAATACGTTCCATTTCCCCCCACCGAGTGCCTCAAATTTTACCGAAAGTCATGTGACATCTGCAACCGATACCAGACGGACAGTAAAACACGTTAAGATTTGAAGAAATTTCTGTTATAAACTGATATTTATCAGCAACTTTTTAATTGGTCAGATGTCACTGGATCATAAAATGTTGTTAGAGTATGTTACCGCAACTTGTGACCCTCTCTGGTGCGATATTTGTGTATAATGCAATTATATAGCGTGAAACATAGGGGTCCGAGAGAGAACAGCCGATTTATGATACTTCGTTTGATGCGAGTCGGACTAACTTTGAATCGGCATAACTTTTTTAATAATCAAGCAATTAACATGCGGTTCAAAGCACATGAAAGGGAATTCATTTACGGAGGGAACCGTGTCAGGGATTTTTGTTTGCTCAATCAGCGACTTAATTATCTTTAATTACGTAATATGTATGGTGAAAAAAGTCGCATAAAATGTTTGACGTTACGTAATATTTTTTTTGAAAAAAGATAGAAACAAGAGCCCAGTTTAAGCCGGGTGATGCTCCCCGAATAGGTTTTGGACACAGGAAAGTACACCTCATGAAGTTTTAGAGCTATGTCCCTGGAAAAAGTTTAAAGTCCAAAATTAGGCAAGGCAGAGTTACTGTTCTTTGTACTGCACTTCTAATCAATGTGATCTATCAACATACAAAGTTTCTTGATGATATCTCTTATGATTTCCGAGTTATGTCCCGGACAACTTCAAAAAGTAAAAATAAACAAAGGGCAATAAATCCAGAATTAGGCAAGGCAGAGTTATGATTCTTGTGCACTGCACATCTACCCATTGAGATATATCTACCTACAAAGTTTCATGTTGATATCTCTTATAGTTTTACAGCTATGTCCTGGACAAGATTTTTCTAAAAGGGGAGATTATTAAACAAGAGCTGTCACAGGAGACAGCGAAGCTCGACTAATAAAATACTGGACGCAGTAAGGAGGACAAAACTATGAAAGAAAAATCAATTATGTATAATTATGTATTAAGTTATAGTAAAAAAATAACATTTGTTAACATAAATTCCAAGATCAAGGGGAATAATTCTAGAAATAGTCATGCTAGAGTTATGGACCTTGCCACACAACATTTGTGTAATGATAAGAAATATATATTTGAAGTTTGAAGTAGATACCTTAAAAAATAAAGAAGTTATTATATTTCTTAAAGAAAATCCTAAGTTCAAAGAGAGATAAATCTGTAAATATTGCTTCAAGAGTTATGAACATTGTCACATAAAATGTAATTGATGATAAGGAATAAGTATTTGAAGTTTAAGGTAGATACCTTTAAAAATAAAAAAGTTAAAATAAAAAATAACATTTTTCTAGTAAATAAATCTAAGTTTATGGGGAGATAATTTTTGCAATATTGGTGCTAGAGTTATGAACCTTGTCACATAAGATGTGGATGATGATAACAGAAATATATTTAAAGTATGAAGTTGATCCCTTTAGAAATAAATAAGTTACAGTAAAAAATAATATTTTGTATGGAAAATTCTAAGTTCAAAGGGAGATAAACCTGAAAATATTGGTGCTAGAGTTATGAACCTTGTCACATAAGATTGGGAAGATGATAACGTAAATATATTTGAAGTATGAGGTTGATCCCTTAAGAAATAAAGAAGAAACAGTAAGAAATAGTATTTTTTTAGCAAAATTCTAAGTTCAAGGGGAGATAAATCTGAAAATATTGGTGCTAGAGTTATGAACCTTGTCACATAAGTTGGGGATGATGATAAGGTACATATATTTGAAGTATGAGGTTGATCCCTTAAGAAATAAAGAAGTATCAGTAAAAAATAGTATTTTTTAAGGAAAATTCTAAGTTCAAGGGGAGATAAATCTAAAAATATTGGTGCTAGAGTTATGAACCTTGTCACATAAGATGTGGTTGATGATAAGGAACATATATTTGAAGTTTGAAGTTGATACCTTAAGAAATGACAAAGTTATAGTGAAAAATATATTACTGCACCAAAACTTTAATCTAAAATCTGGACGCGGACGCCGACGCCGGGGCGAGTAGGACAGCTCTCCATATACTTCGTATAGTCGAGCTAAAAATGAGGCTTAATAGAGTTATGTTTTTTTTGCACTGCACCTCTACTCAATGAGATCTATCTACCTACAATATTTCATCTTAATATTTCTTATAGTTTTAGAGTTATGTTACGGGCAAAGTTCAAAGTGTTACAATAAACAAAGGGCAATAACTCTAAAATTAGGACAAAAAGAGTTATTGTACTTATGCACTGCACATCTACCCATTGAGATCTATTCACCTACAAGGTTTCATGTTGATATCTCTTATAGTTTTAGAGTTATGCCCCAGAGAAGATTTTTCTATAAGGGGAGATAATTCAAAAATAAGGCTTAACAGAGTTATGGTTCTTTTGCACTGCACCTCTACTCAATGAGATCTATCTACCTACAATGTTTCATCTTGATATCTCTTATAGTTTTAGAGTTATGTTCCAGACAAAGTTCAAAGTGTTTAAATTAACAAAGGGCAATAACTCCAAAATTAGGACAAAAAGAGTTATTGGTCTTATGCACTGCACATCTACCCATTGAGATCTATTCACCTACAAAGTTTCATGTTGATATCCCTTATACTTTTAGAGTTATGCCCCGGACAAGATTTTTCTATATGGGGAGATAATTCAAAAACCGGGCAAAATAGAGTTATGGTTCTTTGACACTGCACTCCCCCTCAAAGCCCTCTACCAGTGTATGAAGTTTCCACAAATTATCTCCATGGGTTTTCAAGTTATGCTCCGGACAAGACAACGGACAGACAGACGGACAGACGGACAAGGTGCCGACTATATGCTCCCCCGAAATTTTTCGGGGAGCATAAAAATTTGAGACACAGTTCCCCAGATATTATAAGTATGTTTATTTTCCAAAAGTTTGATGACAAAAAAATACAAAATGACTTTTATATGACGATTTAAAATTAAAGGATTTTAAAAATTAATCATTTACAAAGGCATTTTTTTCAAATATGTTATTTTTTATGATGATCAACGACATTTAATGCACAAAGATTAAATAAATAACAATTATTACTAAAATAAGTTGGTTTAAATGACATTTATGTGAGTACCACAGAAAGTGTAAGTTGTCACCTTAATCATTTATTTCACTAAGGTGACAAGATGTTATTACACTTACCATCATTTCCCTCTTGATTTTATCATTTTGTTCAAGTTTAGTCTTCTTGTCTCTTAGTTCATCAATCTTCTGTTGTATCTCTTCCTCTCTCTCCTCAAAATCTGTCTGTAACAATGAGAATTGTTTGTTAAGCACAAGCAAAAATACTGACATAATTATGCCAACAGCACTAGAGTTAAATCTGTCTCCGTGTCCATGTACTTCGACCAGATGCAATACTGCTTGTTCATTAACAGACAGTTCCAAATACTTTAAATGGCATGAAATGGTTACATATTTGATAGATAAATAAGGTGAAAAGATGCATTAACAGGTAAAATCACCCATGCATGAGCCATTTTTGCACATTTTTATATTTGCGTGACTCAGGGTGCCATGTAAAAATACTAAATTTCATTATCAAAACATTAGTGTCAAATGACAGCAAACCAGCTTGTTTAAATGAAAAACAAATAAAAACAAGAACGTGTTTGTTAAACACAAATGCCCCTGGCTCAGATTCTTGTCAGTAGCAATACTTCATAAATGTTTACCCATTCACTCAGTTATGGACAGAAAAATCACCAAAAAATTGTAAACACAAGTTTTATAGCTTGACAAAGTCATGGCATTTTGTAATTGTGAAAAATATAAGTTGCCAAGTCATTGCTCTGACTTGTGAAGTTGAAAAATATTCAACTTCATGCAAGTTATCTTCCTACCAAATACGAAATACATCTGTCATTAAATAAAGGCTGTATGGGCAAAAGTGTAAAAATCTATTTTGAGCACTGGTGACCTTGACCAAACTGACCCCTAAATCTATCCAAAAGAAGACTACCAATTAAGTTATCTTCCTACCAAATATGAAATACATCTGTCAATAAATAAAGGTTGTATGGGCAAAAGTGTAAAAATCTATTTTTAGCACTTGTGACCTTGACCCAACTGACCCCTTACTCCATCCAAAGGAAGAATACCATGCAAGTTATCTTCCTACCAAATATGAAATACAACTGTCAATAAATAAAAGCTGTATGGGCAAAAGTGTAAGAATCTATTTTTAGCACAAGTGACCTTGACCCACTGATCCCTACCCCAATCAAAAGGATGAATACCATGCAAGTTATCTTCCTACCAAATATAAAATATATCTGTCACTTAATAAAGGCTGTATGAGCAAATGTGTAAAAATTTTTTTTAGCACTGGTGACCTTGACCCAACTGACCACTAACTCCATCAAAGTTTATGTTTCTATCAATTATAAATAACATCTGTCTATAGAATAAGGTCAATACACCTGTAAAAATGTAAAAATCTACTTTTAACATTGGTGACCTTGACATTGGTAACATTGACCTTGACCCAAATGACCCCATACTACACACAAAGAAGGAGGAGTTTGTATTAAACTAAGACATTAACTAAAAAATAAAGGCTGTATAAGCAAAAAGGTTATATTTATTTTTTAAGCCAGTGACCTTGACCCTAGAGACCGCTTACTCTAAAAAAATTAGAGGACCATCAAAGGTATCCACCTACTAAATATGAAAGATATCAGTAAAGAAATTAAGCAATTAGGAGAAATTTAAGATAAATCCAACTTGCCGAAATAGGTTAACCAGACAAGGCCCTATTTTCAAAGTGAAAAAAGGGAAATAACTGGGAAATATGGATGACACAGTAATATAACTTGGTTATATCATGTGCTTTGTATTGATAAGTAAGTGTGGAAATTATAAAGCCATAAGTATAGATAGAACTTAAGATATTTACAACTTGCCGTTTTAGGTTAACCATTATTCATTTTCTAAGTGCTGAAAAGGGCAATAACTTGGTAAATATGAAAGCCAGAGTTATGAAACTTGCCCAGATCGTGTACTTTGTATTGATTAGTAAGTGTGTAAACTTAGAAGCCATTGGAACAGGTAGAACTTAAGAAAAATCCAACTTGCCGTTCTAGGTTAACCTCGTACGGACAGACGGACGGACGGTTCAATCACTATATGCCCGGGGGCATAGAAAAACAAAATAACCTTATCACACCTATACTATTATGCAACAGTAGTGTTTATGTCTAGCACCATTTTTACATGCAATAACTTCTGCAGAAGCCTAATCGGACTCATAAATACCTCGACCTGCAGGCTCAGGCTTTAAATTGTGTCCTCAATCATCTCCAGATTTCAATGTACGAAAAAAATGTATATTAGCCAATGAATGCAACAGCCAATAAATTAACAAGAGGGCCATGATGGCCCTTGATCGCCTCCCTGACCCATCAACCGCATCCAAGCAATGTCTTAGACAAGCATCCTGGCCAAGTTTGATGACAATTGAGTCAAAAATGTGACCTCTAGTGTGTTAAAAAGGTTATCCATATTTGGGTAATGCGACCTAATTTTTGACTGGAGACGACCCATATTCGAACTTGACCTAGAAATCATCAAAACAACCTTTCTGACAAATTTCCTGAATATTTGGATCAAAACTGGAGCCACTACAGTGTTATAAAGATTTTTCTATTTCTAGCTTCTGTGACCTAGTTTTTGACCGGAGATGACTCGTCTTCGAACTTGACCTAGAAATTATCAAAACAACCTTCCTGACAAATTTCCAGAATATTTGGATCAAAACTGCAGCCAGTAGAGTGTTAACAAGCTTTTTCTATTTCTATCTCCTGTGACCTAGTTTTTGACCGGAGATGACCCATCTTCGAACTTGACCTAGAAAACATCAAAACAACCATCCTGACAAATTTCCAGAACATTTTGATCAAAACTGCAGCCAGTAGAGTGTTAACAAGCTTTTTCTATTTTTAGCTCCTGTGACTTAGTTTTTAACCAGAGATGATCCATCTTCGAACTTGACCTAGAAATCATCCAAACAACCTTCCTGTCAAATTTCCAGAATATTTGTATCAAAACTGCAGCCACTAGAGTGTCAACAAGCTTTTTCTATTTTTAGCTCCTGTGACCTAGTTTTTGACCGGATATGACCCATCTTCAAACTTGACCTAGAATTAATCAAAACAACCTTCCTGACAAATTTCCAGAATATTTGAATCAAAACTGCAGCCACTAGAGTGTTAACAAGCTTTATCTATTTTTAGCTCCTTTGACCTAGTTTTTGACCGGAGATGACCTATCTTCAAACTTGACCTAGAAATTATCCAAACAACCTTCCTGACAAATTTCCAGGATATTTGGATCAAAACTGCAGCCAAAAGAGTGTTAACAAACTTTTTCTATTTTTAGCTCCTGTGACCTAGTTTTTGACCGGAGATGACCCATCTTCGAACTTGACCTAGAAATCATTGAAACAACCTTCCTGACAAATTTCCAGAATATTTGGATCAAAACTGCAGCCAGTAGAGTGTAAACAAGCTTTTTCTATTTTTAGCTCCTGTGACCTAGTTTTTGACCGGAGATGACCCATCTTCAAACTTGACCTAGAAATCATCAAAACAATCTTCCTGACAAATTTCCAGAATATTAGGATCAAAACTGCAGCCAGTAGAGTGTTAACAAGCTTTTTCTATTTTTAGCTTGATCTGTATTTCATTGAGACAAACATTCAGACAAAGTTTGACAATGATCCAATCAAAACTGTGACTGCTACACTGTTAACAACCCAATTGTTGACGACGAACGACGTATCACGCACAACGCAAGACGCCGGACATAGCCCCATCACTATACCTCACCTTGACCACTTCGTGGTAGGTGAGCTAAAAAGCAAACTCTTTAACCTTAAGGTTAAGTGATAATAGACGATTCTTTCATATGCAATATTTTCAAATTGATTAAATGTAGAAAATATCATTAAAATGCCCTAAACATATGAAAATCTACATAATATACCCTAATGTATTGTATTGTATATTATGGTATATTTACCTTTGTCTGTCTAGTTTCTTCTACCATAGCCTCAAGTTTACGTTGCATACTCTTTAAGAACAATTTGTATTTCTCATCAGTTAAGGCCCCTGACAAATCTGGAATACAAATTCATTTAAGTTTGTTTATACTTTTTAATACTTTTTTTAAAATTAAAAAATTAATATCATATGCATTAAATGAATATAAATTTACTAATATTCTAAGACCAAGAAAGGATAAAATACTTATGCCAGCCATAGAGTATAAGAATCTTACACTGGCTGCTGGTACAAACCGGAATATCTAGCTTGAAGGTAACTGTTTACGGCGGTAACGAGGCTCTGCCAAGTTTCCGCTTAACAGTTACTCGAGAGCTAGATATTTCCGACTGTAACGATAGCTGGTGTTTAATTATTTTTCTTGCATATAACATGTCAATTATTTTCGGAACAGAAATAACGAAAACTGAACACTTACAACTTCATTCGTAACAGTAAAATGACGTCATCTAAAGAACGCAATTCATTAACAAGAGGCCCATCAAGTAGCTCACCAGAAACAACTGCTTTTCAGTGTTGGAAATTATCCATTGTCAATATTTTCTTATATTAAATTTGAGCATAAAATATGTTTAAACAATAATTTAAAGAAATGCCATGACCTGGGGCATTTAAGCTTTAGCTTTAATCAAATTAATATGAGCAAACTTGAGTAAAGACTACCTAAGAATGCTACAAAGTTTGGAGATTATCTATCAGTTTATTTCAGAAGGAAATGATGTTCAAAGGTTTTTCTATTTTTGGCTTTAGTGGCCCCTAAAACGGGCTAATCAAATTAATATGAGCAAACTTGATAAAAGAGTGCCTAAGAATGCTACAGACAAAATTTGGTGATCATCCATCAATTAGTTCTGTACAAATAGACGTTTAAAGGTATTTCTATTGTTAGTTTAAGCGGCCCCTAAAAGAGGCAAATCAAATTAATATGAGCAAGCTTGATACAGTGGAACCTGTCTTATACGAACTCGTCCGGACCAAAAGAACAGTTCGGATTAGAAAGGTTTCCGGATTAGAAGGTTTTTACATGTTTGTACATGTGAAGGGCAGAACAGTTTAAGGAAAGAAAACGGGAATGCATAAGAAATTGCAATATAAATATCTTATTTTTGCAATCTCTTGTCGTTCATTTTAATACATGTGCATACAAAAATAATCAAATAAATAAAAATAAATAAGCAAAAATATTATGTTCTCAAGGGTAAGTTAACCGACAATGTTAAACTGGAGGCAGAGAAATGATTAAATATTTGTACCAGCATTTGTCAGTAATGGTCTGTAGAAAATGACAAAGTTACGGATACCCAGTTTGGATTTAAAGCAGATGATATCACTGTAGATGCTATTTTTATATTACATTCTTTGATTGAAAAGTTTATAAATGATAAGAAGAAACTATTTTGCTGTTTTATTGACTTTAAAAAAGCATACGATCTAATTGACAGGAACTGCCTATGGTATAAATTGATAAAATGTGGTATTGATGGAAAATTGTTCTCTGTAATATATTCAATTTATGAAGACGTTAAATTGTGTGTGAAACATGACTTTTGTAAATACGTTGTCTGAATTTTTCAGTAGCGAAATGGGTCTCTTTCAAGGTGAGATAACTTCACCAATAATGTTCAGTCTCTTTTTGAATGATTTAGAAAATTTATAACAAGAAAATTTAGATGATGGTATAACATTAGATCAATTATTGATTTATTTGCTATTATTTGCAGATGACCCCGTTATCTGTTCTGAATCTGCTCAAGGTTTACAAAATTCCTTAAATAGTTTAGAAAAATATTGTAACAAATGGCATCTTACTGTAAACGTAGATAAGACTAAAATTGTTGTTTTCAGAAAGGGTGGAGTTTTAAATAAAAGTTATAAGTGAATATATGGGGGTTTAAATATAGAAATTGTAAAAACGTTTAATTACCTAGGTATTGTTTTGTCTAGCGGAAGTTCATTCATAACAGCGACCAACACATTAAAAGGCAAAGCACTACAGGCTATGAGCTCATTATTTAATGTAACAAGAGATAAGCAAGTTCCAATTGGTATTATGTTCAACCTATTTGATGCATATGTTCAACAAATTCTAAATTATAGTTGTGAGGTATGGGGTAGCATACCATCGGAAAATTTTTGAAATTGTACTAAATGGCTGCTTAATGTGAAAAAATACTCTTTCATTGTTTGCAGAAGTAGGCTGATTTCCATTATATATTTCACGTCATGTAAGAATTGTTAAATATTTTATAAAAATATATCAAAATAAAACAAGCAATCGTATATTAAATTATATTGTTAATTGTCAGAGATTGGAGATAGAGTCAAAGTCTAATACTGTAAATTGGTTGTCTAAAGTCAAAGCACTTTTGCAAAGTGCTGGATTTAATATGTATGGATGTATCAATAATCAGTTAAGCTAAATATATTTATACCAGTCCTGCATGGTCGTTTAAAAGATATTTATATCACAAATTGGCATTTAATTTTTAGTGTACATATTTGTTCTTCTTTGTATTTGTATAAACATATCAAAACAGATTTTAACAGGTCTAAATACCTGGATATTGCTGACTCTATGAAATTAAGAAATATTATTAGCTAAACTTAGATTATCATCTCACAATTTATTCATAGAAACAGGTAGACATAATAATATTGATAGAAATGACTGGAAATGTACTATTTGCAACAATAATGACATCGAAGATGAATATCACTTTGTATTGATTTGCTTTATGTATGATTCTATTAGGAAACAGTATATATCCAACTATTTTACAAGGAACCCTAGCATGTTCAAATTTTTAGAATTGCTGAATTCAGAAAGTGAGTCAGTGTTAACAAAATTAGCTACATATTGTAACAAAGCTTTTAAATTAAGATTTGATTCATTGAATGCCGTAATTTGCTATATAATACCACCTTGTTGTATTGTTTAAAGTTATATAAGGATTATATATATTACATGTGTTGTATTACACTCTCACTAGTTTATTTCATTTAGTGATATGCGTTTACCATTTTTCATATTCATGCATGTATATATTTGTTGTATATGAAGATGAGCTGTATATGCTTAATTCAAAATAAAATATATGTTCTGTATGTTCTTTACTCTTATCCGATTCAGCGATTATCCGAATTCACTGACAGTTTCCATTGATTTCCATTATTTAATCCTCATGTCATTTAATTCATTACAAAAGATTTAAAGTAATTTGTATTGCATTATATCAAATATTTATTGAAGGTGAAGAAAAACAATCAATTCAGCAATTATAGTAGTTATCAAGGCAAGCTAAGTGTAATTTCCACACCTTTGTCGATCATACGTTTCATCCATTTATCATTCTTATCAGTTTGGTGTATGTTTACACCTGCAAGATGTGCGATTATTTGTAATTTTAAATGTAGGTGTGACATTTGGCAAAATCTGTTTGGATCCTAGTGGTTAATTGTAGAGTAAAACAAGAGCCATGTCAACATGGCCATCCCCCGCCGAATGTGTTTGCTCATTGGAAGAATGTATATGGCTGTTCAAAGTGATTACAGATTTGAAACCTATGTGAATACTGATGGCTGTCAATAACAAAGGGCAATAACTCAAAAATTATGCAGGGTAGAGTTATCATTCTTGTGCACTGCACTCCTCCTCAATGAGATCCATCCACCTATGAAGTTTCAAGTTGATACCTCAAATTCTTTTTGAGATAAGCTCCGGACAAAATAGTATGAAAAAGAACAAAGGGCAATAACTCCAAAATTATATAGCGAGTTATCATTCTTGTGCACAGCATTCCTCCTCAATAAGATCTATCTACCTATGACATTTCATGTTGACATCTCAAACACTTTTTGAGTTATGCTCCACTCAGGTGAAAAATTAAATATGAAAAATAACAAAGGGCAATAACTCAAAAATTATGAAAAGTAGAGTTATCAATCTTGTGCACTGCACACCTCCTGAGTGAGATCTATGCACCTATGAAGTTTCAGGTTGATATCTCAAAGGCTTTTTGAGTTATGCTCTGGACAAAGGCTTTTTGAGTTATGCTCTGGACAAAAATTAATTTTGAAAAATAACAAAGGGCAATAACTCAAAAATTATGCAAGGTAGAGTTATCATTCTTGTGCACTGCACTCCTCCTCAATGAGGTCTATCCACCTATGGACGGAGACTGTTTCTATGAAAAGGCGGCGGGGATAATAAGAACAACAAGAACTGTGGGAGGACAGTATTGGCTCGACTATTCAAAAATTGTCACAAGGGTGTTTTATTGAGTATAATAATGCTAATTACCTATGAATACATAAAATTGACCGAAAAGGTACAAAGGCTTTTATTAAGATGTTTTATGAAGTAAATCACTGCTTTATTATTATGAATGCATAAAAATGTCCCAAAAAAGGCACAAACTCTTCAGTAGTTATGGAGATAACAGCTTACAAGCAAAACTTTACCATGAATTTCTAAGTTGAAAAAGGGGAGAAAAATCAGCCTAAATGCAAGATAGAATTATGGATATTGGTCAGTTACCTACAATTATGATTCTAAATGCATATGTGAAGTTTTAAATAAATATCTTTAATAGTTATTGAGATATGTAAAACTTGCATGTAAACATTAACCAAGAGACTAAGTAGAAAAGAGGAGACGAATCAGCCTAAATGCGAGTAGAGTTATGGAACTTGGTCAGTGACATACAATTATGACCCTCCAATTATGACCCTAAGTACATGACTGTGTAAAGTTTCAAGTAAATATCTTTGAAGACCTTTAACCTTTAAATTTCTAAGTTTCAAAGGGGCAGATAATTCTGCAAATATTGCAGGCAGAGTTATGCAATTTTGCAAACTGATGTACATTGTTACTATAAAAAAGTATTGTAAATTTCAATTGAATATCTCAAGCAAAAAAACTTTAACCAAAGTTATAAAGGGGCATAATTCTGTAAATATTATAGGCAGAGTTATCCAACTTGTCAATCTGATGTACATTGTTACTATAAATAAGTATTGTAAGTTTCAATTGAATATCTCAAGCAATAATTGAGATATTTGAATTTACAAAAAACTTTAACCAAAATTTCCAAGTTAAAAGGGACATAATTCTGTAAATATTGTAGGCAGAGTTATCCAACTTGTCAATCTGATGTACATTGTTACTATGAATAAGTATTGTAAGTTTCAATTGAATATCTCAAGCAATAATTAAGATATTTGACATTACAAAAAACTTTAACCAAAATTTCTAAGTTAAAAAGGGGCATAATTCTGTCAATATTGTAGACAGAATTATCCAACTTGTCAGTCTGATGTACATTGTTACTATAAATAAGTATTGTAAGTTTCAATTGAATATCTCAAGCGATAATTGAGATATTTGAATTTACAAAAAACTTTAACCAACGCAGACGCCGATGCTGAAGCCGACGCCGGGGTGACTACAATAGCTCTCATATTCTTTGAATAGTCGAGCTAAGAATTGAAATAATCGTCCGGAATTTGGAGTAGACAGGTTCCTATTCCAAAAGGTTTTTTACTATTGAAAATAGAACATTACAAATTGGGACCGTACACTTCGCTCAGATAAAAAAGGATTCCGGATTAGAAGGGTTCGGATAGGCAAGGCTCCACTGTAAAAGACTACCCAAGAATGCTACAGACAAAGTTTGGTGATCATCCATCCATTAGTTCTGTAGAAGAACATATTTAAAGGTTTTTCTATTTTTAGCCCTAGAGACCCTTAAAAGGGGCCAATCAGTTTAATATGAGCAAACTTGATAAAAGACTACCAAAGACTGCAACAGACAAAGTTTGGTGATCATCTATCAATTAGTTCTGTGTTAGATGTTTAAAGGTTTTTCTATTTTTAGCTCTGTTGACCCCTAAAAAGGGCCAATTGAAATGACATGAACAAATTCAAGTGTGACTGTCACAAGGATGCTACAGACCAAATTTGAAGTAAATCTGCCCAGCAGTTTCAGAGAAGAAGACGATTGTTGACGCATGACGACGGACGCCGAAGCATCCCCCTTTGATACTAATAGCTCACCCTGAACCTTCGGTTCTTGTGAGCTAATAAAAGGCAGACAGCAATGACGTCATTTAAAGCACACAACTTGTCTTACACAGGTTTTTCCAGCACCGGTGTTAACTGTAGATGATCATGTCTGATATGCAAGAATAAAGCAAGTCTTCACATTGATGCAATCAGGCCAGGCTTTAAATTGCTGGCTACACTCATTGTATTTAAAACCACTTTTACCTATAAAGTTTGTTTTCAAGTCAATGCTAACTCATGGGAAAATGGTCTAATATAGCATAATAGCCTTCAATCTGCTTGTAAACACTGGGAAACTACCAAGAAAAATATATGAATACAGTAGCCTCTTGTCTTTTTATACATTTACCTTTAAAACTGTATTCATCTGCAAACTGCTTGATCAGAGCATCTCTTTTTGAAACGTTTTCTTCTTGTCTCTGAAATTGAAATTTAGTAAATTTTAACGCAAGAAAATATACATTGGAATATTGTACTATCTCTACATGGCGTGAGTCAATCAACCATTTACTTATATGTGCGACTCAGAAAACATATGAGATCTAACTTGTAACTGATGAACATTGATAAAGTTACAGTCCTAAATAGTTGAAGTGGAAATGAATAAGATAACTTCAGAGATGATTATCAGATGACGGACATGAGTTGCAATTTGTGATACTGATTATCAATAGGCAAGTGGCTAAAATTAGTTTCACCACATTAAAGTCTTCAATTTTTTCAACCTAACTTAAACCCACTAAGGTGAGAAGCAAGCACTATGTAGCCGGCAAGCTATAAATCTCCATCATGGACATAATTTATAGGCCTTTCCATTTTTCAGCTGTTAAAAATTTAGCCCCAACTTTTCTATTCATTGCTAGGTCAATTGCTCACAGACAGTATCTCACAAAAAAAACCATGTGTTCTTTCATAGAAAACAGGACAACAAATGACTATGTATTATTCCCTTGTATCAACTGAATGGACAGTCAATTTGCATAAAACTGTACACATTGGAAAGGTCAATTCACTTGAGATAAAGTACACCTGCTAATTAGTATGTTTAATTTGCTGACTTTTAAATCACACTGGCATTGTGAAGGTCATATGGCAACTTTACAGCTTAACTGATCGAGGAAAACCTCAGGGTGCCCTTCCGTGCATTATTTCAGGCATGAGTGTCAGAACCCCTTCTCTAAGTTAACTTGATAGCTTCCACACATGAAAGAATCCAGTAAGTAAGTGGCAAGTTATTTTAAGTCAGCAACCTCAATCACTCTGCCACCTAGAAATAAGTGGTCCAGTGAACAAGAGACAAAGATGACAAAAATTACAAAACTTTACCTCAGCCTCTTGTTGAAGTCTTCCTACTTCTACCAGTATAGCAGACTTCTCCTTGTCTAACTTTTCTGATTGTTTACTTAACATTTTCTGCCTGTCTTCAAACTGAAAGGAAATTTAAGGACACAATTTGACAATTCAAGGTTACTGTATAATTTGGCATTACATGGTAACTGTACAATTTAATTTAACAAGGTGACTAAAATTTGATCTTTCAGGGTAACTGTTCAATGTGACACTACAAGGTAATTGTACAATTTGACATTACAAGGTAACTGTACAATTTGACATTACAAGGTAATTGTACAATTTGACACAACAAGGTAATTGTACAATTTGACATTACAAGGTAACTGTACAATTTGACATTACAAGGTAATTGTACAATTTGACACAACAAGGTAACTGTACAATTTGACATTACACGGTAATTGTACAATTTGACATTACAAGGTAACTGTACAATGTGACACTAAAAGGTAATTGTACAATTTGACACAACAAGGTAACTGTACAATTTTACATTACAAGGTAATTGTACAATTTGACATTACAAGGTAACTGTACAATTTGACATTACAAGGTAACTGTACAATTTGACATAATGGTAATTATACAATTTGACATAACAAGGTAACTGTACAATTTGACATTACGAAGTAAATGTACAATCTGACACAACAAGGTAACTGTTCAATTTGACATTACAAGGTAATTGTACAATTTGACACTACAAGGTAATTGTACAATTTGACATTACAAGGTTACGGTACAATTTGACACTACAAGGTAATTGTACAATTTGACATTACAAGGTTACTGTACAATTTGACACTACAAGGTAATTGTACAATTTGACATTACAAGGTAACTGTACAATTTGACATAACAAGGTAACTGTACAATTTGACACTACAAGGTAATTGTACAATTTGACATTACAAGGTAACTGTACAATTTGACACTACAAGGTAACTGTACAATTTGACATCACAAAGTAAATGTACAATTTGACACAACAAGGTAACTGTACAATTTGACATTACAAGGTAACTGTACAATTTGACATAACAAGGTAATTTTACAATTTGACATTACAAGATGACTGTACAATTTGACATCACGAAGTAAATGTACAATTTGACACAACAAGGTAACTGTACAATCTGACATTACAAGGTAACTGTACAATCTGACATTACAAGGTAACTGTACAATTTGACATTACAAGGTAACTGTACAATTTGACATTACAAGGTAACTGTACAATTTGACATTGCAAGGTTAATGTACAATCTGACATAACAAGGTAACTGTGCAATCTGACATAACAAGGTAACTGTACAATTTGACATTACAAGGTAACTGTACAATTTGACATTACAAGGTAACTGTACAATTTGACATAATGGTAATTATACAATTTGACATAACAAGGTAACTGTACAATTTGACATAATGGTAATTATACAATTTGACATAACAAGGTAACTGTACAATTTGACATTACAAAGTAAATGTACAATCTGACACAACAAGGTAACTGTACAATTTGACATAACAAGGTAACTGTACAATTTGACATAATGGTTATTATACAATTTGACATAACAAGGTAACTGTACAATTTGACATAACAAGGTAACTGTACAATATTTGACATTACAAGGTAACTGTACAATTTGACATTTCAAGGTAACTGTACAATTTGACATAATGGTAATTATACAATTTGACATAACAAGGTAACTGTACAATTTGACATTACGAAGTAAATGTACAATCTGACACAACAAGGTAACTGTACAATTTGACATAACAAGGTAACTGTACAATTTGACATAATGGTAATTATACAATTTGACATAACAAGGTAACTGTACAATTTGACATTACGAAGTAAATGTACAATCTGACATAACAAGGTAACTGTACAATTTGACATCACGAAGTAAATGTACAATTTGACATAACAAGGTAATTGTACAATTTGACACAGATATACTTATCTAACATTACCACAATAAATGAAAAACATTGCTATTACTTCTTCAAAACACTTTGATGTTTGACATTATATTCATACCTCCTCTAAGGTTCTCTCTCTTTCCTTCAATTTATCTTCAAAATCTGACAGCATACTCTTCAACTCGTCATCAGTTCCTTTATAAACAGTTTGAAAATATCAAATTTACAAATCTTTTTTTTAAGTATTTAGGCATTGTAAATTCAATCAGTCACAGAATAGAATAAAGCTATGTTAAGTGAGGACAATTAGACATGTCGTTTACCTGAAACATTTGCTGAATCTTGTAGATTTCATCACCTCATATTTAGCGGTAATTTTCACGGTCTTTGACCACTAATAATTGCCTGCAGGCAGATTAAATTTATAATGGCCAGTCGTTAATTACAGTTTATGACACCTTCGCTCAGGAAGCCACAGGGGGTAAACAATTAATCTTTAAATTGATCAAAATTATTGCCTTTGTAATGCTGTAAGGGGATAATCATTCGTTATAAGCGTTCTAGAATAGTTTATAATAAGATTATATAATCAAAGGGCTGCAAGCTCTGTGGTATTTTCTGATCTTTGTAATCTAAATCATACTGTATATCTGTGTTTTCCTGTAAAAGTTCATTTTTATGTACTATAATTCATCTTGCAGGGCACCAGAGTTTGATACATACGGAATTTTGCATAACTAGAGTTGCATCAAAAAATCATTTATGTTCATTTTTTATGATAGCCACACTTTATCCTTGCAGAGCGTGGCTATTTCCTTAACAAAGAATTTAAAAAATGATGACTCGACTGGGATTTGAACTCCAGACCTCTCTCACACGAAGCGAGCGTGTTACCCCTGCACCACAGAGAAGTTTTAAAATCAAAGGCTGAATAAAATCAAGTCATTCTAAATTTAGAATTTCCATTGCATTTCGGGTTTTTAAAGCAGCATAGGCTGAATAAAATCAAGTCATATTAAATTTAGAATTTCCATTTCATTTCGGGTTAGGGTAATTTCGAGGTATTTTGTTCAAGGTAACCCTGTTGTTTAAAATTGAAGTAAATAACTTAGCAAAAATCTTCTCGCCCAAACAGTCCAACATGTAGAAACTATATATTCAACTACTCGGCAGTCAGATTTATTTGTGTAGTATTCGGTAAGCGACATCGCTAACAAGAGCTGTCGGTAGGACAGCATGCTTGACTATTCTTAGTGCTTGATAGTAAAAAAAATGCCTGATACAGTTACCTCCTCCTGTTTACAGGTTGGGGTCATGATGGTGAACAAGTGTGCAAAGTTTCAAAGCCATATGTCAATGGACTTTGAAAATATTTGAACTATTACAAAAACTTTAACGTAAATTCTAAGTCGAAAAAGGGGCATAATTCTGTCAAAATGCTTGATAGAGTTATCTCCTCCTGTTTACAGGTTGGGGTCATGATGTTGAACAAGTGTGCAAAGTTTCAAAGCCATATGTCAATGGACTTTGAAAATATTTGAACTATTACAAAAATTTTAACGTAAATTCTTAGTCGAAAAAGGGGCATAATTCTGTCAAAATGCTTAATAGAGTTACCTCCTGCTGTCTACAGGTTGGGGTCATGATGTTGAACAAGTGTGCAAAGTTTCAAAGCCATATGTCTATGGACTTTGAAAATATTTGAACTATTACAAAAACTTTAACGTAAATTGTAAGTCGAAAAAGGGGCATAATTCTGTCAAAATGCTTGATAGAGTTACCTCCTCCTGTCTACAGGTTGGGGTCATGATGGTGAACAAGTGTGCAAAGTTTCAAAGCCATATGTCAATGGACTTTGAAAATATTTGAACTATTACAAAAACTTTAAACGTAAATTCTAAGTCGAAAAAGGGGCATAATTCTGTCAAAATACTTGATAGAGTTACCTCCTCCTGTCTACAGGTTGGGGTCATGATGGTGAACAAGTGTGCAAAGTTTCAAAGCCATATGTCAATGGACTTTGAAAGTATTTGAACTATTACAAAAACTTTAACGTAAATTCTAAGTCGAAAAAGGGGCATAATTCTGTCAAAATGCCTGATAGAGTTACCTCCTCCTGTCTACAGGTTGGGGTCATGATGGTGAACAAGTGTGCAAAGTTTCAAAGCCATATGTCAATGGACTTTGAAAATATTTGAACTATTACAAAAACTTTAACATAAGTGGTTACGCCGACGCCGACGCTCGGGTGACTGCAATAGCTCTACTTATTCTTATCGAATAGTCGAGCTAAAAATAGCATTTTCATTGATTAAAATCATATTCATCCGCGTAATTTGTGAGTGTGCATTTATTGACAATTCTATAAGCCAACGCTACTTTTAAAGTTTGAATGTGTAGTAATTTGTTGGACACTTGTTACAAAAAATTGTTCTTTCTTTTAAGTTGCTGGTTTTTAAGCAGTTTTGAGTGACAACTAATTTGGGTTGTTAGGTCTGTTAGGAAATTTTGTGTTAGACCGTGGATGTTAGCTATGTATTTACTGATCTGCGATCAGAAAATACAACAAGAGCTGTCGGTAGGACAGCAACGCTCGACTATTCTTAGTGCTTGATAGTAAAAAAAAATGCTTGATACAGTTACCTCCTCCTGTTTACAGGTTGGGGTAATGATGGTGAACAAGTGTGCAAAGTTTCAAAGCCATATGTCAATGGACTTGAAAAATATTTAAGGTATTACAAAAACTTTAACATAAATTCTAAGTCGAAAAGGGGGCATAATTCTGTCAAAATGCTAGATAGAGTTACCTCCTCCTGTCTACAGGTTGGGGTCATGATGGTGAACAAGTGTGCAAAGTTTCAAAGCCATATGTCAATGGACTTTGAAAATATTTGAACTATTACAAAAACTTTAACATAAATTCTAAGTCGAAAAAGGGGCATAATTCTGTCAAAATGTTGATAGAGTTACCTCCTCCTGTCTACAGGTTGGGGTCATGATGGTGAACAAGTGTGCAAAGTTTCAAAGCCATATGTCAATTGACTTTGAAAATATTTGAACTATTACAAAAACTTTAACATAAGTGGTTACGCGGACGCGGACGCTCGGGTGACTGCAATAGCTCTACTTAAGAAATAACATCGGCCTGAGAGGTGTATATCGGCTATTTAACACCGGTTTGGAGTTTTGATGCGTAGGAATTGACCACGAAGGCCGTAGGCAAAACGACAAAACCAGTGTTAAATAGCCGATATACACCTCTCAGGCCGATGCTATTTCGATTCTAACACGTTAAAAGAAGGAAAATCACTAATGTTATTTTTCAAGCGGAAATAACTTCCGGTGCCGATTTTTGTATAGCGCTGTTCGATTTTCGCACCCTACTGTGGCGAAGATATAGAAATTATTAAACAAAAGAAATAATAAGAAAAAAAACATTATTTTATCAAGTTTTCAACAATATAAACTTACGTCGTATTGTGTTTACATCAGCGCCCCATTTGTCATGCTTGTATTATGAAATAACGTCAGCTTGTTTATGAATGAGTTGTTTACTTAGGATGACGTAATTACGCTGCTTACAGATTGGCGCCGTTTTGTCAAAATATTTATAAACTGATATGGATCTTTACGTGGCGTTAGTGTATGTGAGATATAGAGAATACCATGCTAGTGTCTGATATTATAAAATTTATCAGGCAAGGCTAAGAAAAAAAATGAAGGGCGAGGCTCTGCCGAGCTATTCATTTTTTTTCGTGCCGAGCCTGATAAATTTTATAATATTAGACACTTGTTTGGTATTCTATTTATCATGTTTTCAATTTCAATTGTTGTTTGATTTTTTTTATATTTCAACTGAAGCAAAACCCTATCCAGAACCTCTCGTGTTCAGACGGCGCGCAATAATATGTGAAATGTCAAATAAAAAAGAAATAGTCCCGAATGTTTTAGTTAATTGTAAGTGATGCGTTCATATTCAAAATTTCTATTCGATTCAAAGTTTATCAGTTAAATATTTCCAACCCAGTAGCAGGAAAATATATTCCATTCTTTTTATTTCATTTCGCAAATTTCGCATATTTTTGATGAGGTGTCTGATAAAGCTTGGGGTGACTGATAAAGCTAAGTTTATCAGGCATGCACTTTATCAACAGAAATCAATGTAATGACATGATAAATAATTTTTCGGTATTGTATGAAAAGAAAACATTATACGAACTGAAAATATAAATAAAAATGCTTTTTATTGTTGCTTTAAAATGCTTTGTAAACTATACAATCGAGGGTGAAAACATAACAGCGCATATACAAGTAGTCCCTAACTGGTGTTTATTGGCAGTTTAACACCAGTTTTTTTCCTTCTTTGTCTATAGTGACAAAATCACGTGAGTGTTAGAATTATTCTTATCGAATAGTCGAGCTAAAAATGTAAAATTTCTGGCTACAAAGTAGATTATTTTAGATTTTTTTTTAATGGGGAAATAAATCATCTCCGGGACACCTCCAGGACAGACACCTTATTTCCGGGACTTTCACGGTCATCCGGGACATTATGGCATGTATGACAGTAAGGCTCGACTATTTGAAAAAGTTGTCACAAGGGTGTTTTATTGAGTATAATAATGCTTACCTATGAATACATAAAATTGACCAAAAAGATACAAAGGCTTGTTATTAAGATGTTTTATCAAGTAAATAGCTGCTTTATTATTATGAATGCATGAAATTGTCCCAAAAAAGGCAAAAACCCTTCAGTAGTTATGGAGATAACAGCTTACAAGCAAAACTTTACCATGAATTTCTAAGTTGAGAAAGGGGAGAAAAACCAGCATATATGCATGACAGAATTATGGATATTAGTCAGTGACCTACAATTATGACCCTAAAACATATGTGAAGTTTTAAATAAATATCTTTGATAGTTATTGAGATAATTATGTAAAACTTGCATGTAAACATATAATATTAACCAAGAGACTAAGTAGAAAAGGGGAGATAAATAAGCCTAAAAGCAAGATAGAGTTATGAAACTTGGTCAGTGACATACAATTATGACCCTTCATGCATATGTGAAGTTTCAAATCAAAATCTCGGATAGTTATTGAGATATGTAAAATTTACATATAAACATTAACCAAGAGACTAAGTAAACAAGGGCGAGGGCAACGCTTGACTTTTTACTTTTTCTAAAAGCA